TAATATTCCATTTGCTTAATTCAAAACTTGCCTAGTCCCTGAGTGCCCCAGCAGATACTGGGGCGTGTTTTAGCCTGGATGCTGAAGTGATGAGACTGAGGTAGTTTTTTTATGCATCAAATAGCTGGTGAAGGAGCTCTCCTCCGTTTGCTCGTTGCCAGGTTTTTCTGGCAGTCTGGGGTTTGCTTCCTAGTGACGCCTTTGATCTACAGGAGGTGCCGGTGGCCAGTGCAGAGGGTACCAGAGGCCACCCGGGCTTGATAAATGCCCAGATCTTGCCTATCCCAGGGATCACAGCTGCTGCTTTCCTGCGTGTCTCAGTCTTGCCTGTTCTGCTGCAAAGCCTCCACATCCCATGAGTGTCAGTGCTGCCCCAGGCCTGGATCGCGTGGCATTCCGGGGCCCTTTCAAGGTCCCTCTGCAGAAGCAGCCAGTTATGGCTCTCTGTTTTCATCCGAAACCCCTCTGGAATCCTCCAGCTCCTTCGTTTCTGACAACAGCTGGAGAGCAGCTCGTGGCAGCGTCTGGAAGTGCCGCGGGGCTCCCTCCAGCGACCGCGGGAGAGCCGGCACTGCCGGAGCGGGGGTACCGAGCGCTGCTGCTCCCAAAACCGGCCCTGCTTCCTGCTCTGGCCGGGCCCTGCTGCTCCAGCAGCTCCTGGGATGGGCCACCCAGGGCTTCGAGACCACCCCAGCAAAACCCCGGCGGCAGCGGGCAGAGAGAACGCTGCTCGCTCTGTCAGCGTGGAGGGGCCGTGCCCGAGGTGGGGATGGGATAAAGCCGAAGGCTGCGGGCTCTGGACTCGGTGGGATGGGGCTTTGGGGAGCAGCAGCACTGCGGGACAGCCTGGGCTATACTCCAGGGGGTGGCTCGGGGCTGGCCTGTGCCTCAGCAGAAGCAAAGTGACCCGGGATTCTCACAGGGCTTTGGTAGATCAAGGCAGCGTTTCACATCAGGTACCAGTGTCCCAGCCCAGCTGTGTTTGTGTCCCCAAAAAATGAGGACAGCCCTGACCTGCTGCACAGAGCTCCCTCTGAACAGCAGGAACAACTGGTGGGAGACTCAACGGTGGGGCCTTGAGCCCTTTTTTATTTAACAGGGGAATCCAAATCTCTCTTTGGCAAAAAGGGAAGGTGTTTGTGTGTACACAGAGCTGCACCAGCTTAGATGGCACTGAGGTGCTGGGATGGGTAAGCCAGAGGCATCACCCTGAGCCCCCTGCAGTGGCAGTGCACCTCAACTAAACAAAAAAGGCAAATTGGCAAAGCCCCACCGGGATCTGAAACCTGCCACACAGCCATGGAACAGCACACTGAGAGAAAGAGACGAGTTCTTCACCCACCAACACTCTCCAGGCACTTCCAGCCCAGCACTCAGCCTCACCAGCACCAGCAAGGGTCACATTATCAAAGCTGGCCTGGCTCCAAAGCCTCTGGGTGCCTGCCAGACATTGGGGTGCCAGGATTCTCCCAGTCCTGTCAGCAACTTCAGCTCTTCCAGTACAGCTCAGGAACACCGAGCACAAATTGAGCTTCTCGTGAATGTATCTGGCAGGACTCTGCACCCTCACCTTTACCAGGGACACCTCCCAAGCACAGTGTTCTGGGGTGGCTCCTTGAGGGTACTCATGGACACCAATGAGATCTCAGTAAGAGAGCAGGAAGAGAAAATCCTGGCTCAAGTATCCCAGGCAGGCAGCTGCATCCTGGGACACTGCAGGGGCTGAGGCTCCCAGGACAAACTGCAGCACCTTAGGTGACCATTTTGAGCAAGTTTTTATTAAAAAACCCAGTTTATTTATTAAAAAAGGTTTTTCTATAACAAGTTCTATTAAAAAGGAAAGCAGATGGCATAGTCCTGACAGCTCTTCAGCCGAGTTAAGAAACTATTTGGGGCTTTCAGGACCCCTGCTGCCTGTTGAGGACTACTCTCAGTGCAGGTGGCTCAGTGTGTGGCTGCAGTGGGAGCTGCAGGGTGTGCCCAGGGTGTGTGGGGGGCATGGGGGACCCCTGTTGTGTCACTGGAGCTGCTGTGAAGGGATTTCAGTCCCAGCAGTGACAGTCTGGGGTAGTGGTGCCAGTGGGATCCCCAGAGTGGCATCACCGGTCAGCCTCTGGCATGATGTGCCTCTGTGGCTCTGATGGTTGCCCAGTTTGAAAGGCCAGATTTGACAGACTCTCAAACTATTTATGAGCAGGATGGCTCAACAGAAAAAAAGAGACAAGGGCAAAAGTGGGAGGCAACTCAAAATGATGATGGAATATGGTCAGCCGGGGAAAAACTGATTCTTCCAGAGAAATATTTAGTAACTATGGTGAGAGGCTTTCGGGATAAAGCCCATGGAGGGACGAGGCAATAGCCAGCCAAGCACAGAGAGCGTGGGCAGCTCCAGGAATTTACACCACTGCAAAATGAATTACTAACAGCTGCCCAGCTTACCCAAAGTTCTTAAGTAACAGGAACTCAGAGTTAGGAAGGCAATCACGAGCCTACTGCCCTTTCCAGCAGCTGCACAGAGACTGCAGACATGTCACCTCTGGCTGGGGACAAGCATTTGCTGGTGAGAGTAGATCAGCTGCCAGGCTGGGCAGAAGGAAGGGCAGACACAGGAGGAGCAGTAAAGACCTGGCTAAAGGAGGTTATACCTGATGTGGGGTTCCACAGCTGACTGAGACAGAGAGAGGTGCTCATTTTATAGCAAGTGTAATCCATCAGCAGTGCAAGTCTTTGGGGATAGAGAGGAAATTACACACACCACATCACCCACAATCTTCAGGACAGGTAGAGAAAATTAATAACATGTTGAAAGAAAAGGTAGTGAAAATATGCACATACACTGATCTGAAATGGCCAGAGGGCCAAGGGATCCTGGCCTGGCTCAGGAAGTGTGTGGCAGCAGGAGCAGGGCAGGGATTCTTGGCCTGCACTCAGCACTGGTGAGGCCACCCCTGGAGTGCTGTGTCCAGCTCTGGGGCCCTCAGGTCAAGAAGGACATGGAGGGGCTGAGGCAGGGGCAGAGAAGAGCAAGGAGGCTGGGGAAGGGACTGGAGCAAAAGTGCTGGGAGGAGAGGCTGAGGGAGCCGGAGTTGTTTAGGCTGGAGCAAAGGAGGCTCAGGGAGACCTCAGCACTCTCTGCAACTCCCTAACAGGAGAGTGGAGCCTGGTGGGGGTCAGGCTCCTCTCTCAGGCGGCCAGAGACAGGACAAGAGGACATAGGCTGCACCAGCAGAGGTTTAGGCTAGACATTAGGAGGAATTTCCTCACAGAAAGGGTGATTAGACATTGCACTGAGCTGCTCAGAGAGGTGGTGGAGTCATCATCCTTGGAGGTGTTTAAGAAAAGACTGGACTTGGCACTTCATGCCATGGTCTAGTTGACACAGAGATGTGTGTCACACAGGTTGGACTCAGTGAAAGATTTCCTCCCCACTCCTCCAGCAGTCACTGTCTGCCACAGAAGAACAACTGCCCCAACCCATTGCTAAGCTGGAGCTGGAATCTTCCCTAGACCACTGGTTCTATGAATTTTTGGCTTTCCTTCCCTTCTGCTTCCATTGTCTGATATGCAGCTTGGACACCTGATACCCAGCAGTGGGCTTGCAGTGTGTTTGCAGCATGTTGGTTCTCAGAGACCAGGCCATCAACAGCCTGGCTGTCACTGAGCTGGACACCCTGCCGAGCTGGGGCACTGTCAGTCTGGCTGCTGCCCCCTCGCTGCCCCCACTCATCTATTATCACTTGCTTTTGGGAAATGGGACCCCTTGGACACCATGATCCCACCTGCCCAGGGTGTTCAGGTGTCTGGGGGAAGCTGAGGGCAGCCCGGAGGGGCTGAACCTCTCCCCACCCTGACATCGCTCCCGCTCTGAGCATCTCCCAAGGTCCGAAGGCAACCTTTTCGTCCCCCACGTCTCAGCCTCGCTGCTGCTCCTCTGTGATACTGGAGACCCAGTAATCCTTTAGTCGGATAAACACTCCTCGGGGGAGGAAAGTAGGGCAGACGTGCCGTGCTGAGCACAGCCCGGAAAGTGAGAAACACCGAGCAGAGCGGCTTCCCAGCACATCACAGAGGGAAGGAGGGAGGCGGCAGCTTCCCCCCGTCAGGATGTGTCCCACCACAGATCACAGGGGTCAGGGCAGTGACGGGCTCGGTGTGCACAGGTCACCAGGAGGGGGGTCCCCAAGGCGGCGGGGACACCGCGGGGCTCCCCGAGCGGCTCCGTGAGGCTGGTCCCGCATCCTGACCGCGCTCCAGGGATGAGCCGCTGCTGTCGGGAAGGCGAAGGGTGTCCCACGGGCCCTGGGCTGTGGCCACTGCTCCGCTCGGGAAATCGCCTCAAGCCGTGCCAGGGAAAAGAAGGGCAAATGTTCCCCTGGAGCAATTGTGTCACCGCGCGGGGATGTTTTTGCCAGAACAGCCTTTTCGGCCGGTGTTTGGTAGGAAGGTGAGGCCGGGAGCGCGGGGCAGGGAGCGGCCCCAGAGGGAAGCCTCGACCACCCCCGCCTGCTGTGCTGCGCCGACCCCCGGGCCGGGCTCCCCCACCCCGAGATAACACCCCCCATCCCCCAGCGATCGGGGGTCTCTCTCAATCAAACGGGGCGAGCCCCGCACCGCCCAGTGGCCCCAATCAAAATGACCTTCATTCCTTTGCATCCCCTCAAACGCAGTGACAGCCCCGAGGCCCCCCCGCCCCGCTGTGACCCCTCCCTCCTCGGACACCCCCAGGCCCCCTGCCCGCTGTGACCCCTTGGACAGCCCTGCCTCGGCCCTGCCGCCCTGCGGCCCCGCCCCGCCGCCGCCAAGCCCCGCTCCCTCCCGAACCAGGCCCCTCCCGTCTCGCAGGTTCCCGGCTCAGCAGCTCAAGCCCCGCCCCCTCCCCAGCTGCCCTCCTTCGATTGGGTACCGCCTCCCGCCAGTCAGCGGCGCTCCCGCCGCCCATTGGCCGCCATTGATGGGTCTGGCGCGGCGCCCGCCTCCTGCGGGCTCTGGCGGGCGCTGATTGGCCCGCGCGGCAGCGCCCCCCCCCCGGCAGGGCCGCGGTCGGTCGGGCAGGCAGAGGGGTCGGCGCCGCCATCGCCATGGGCACCCGCGACGACGAGTACGACTACCTGTTCAAAGGTACGGCCGAGGGCACCGCCACCGCCACCGCGGCCCGGGCAGCTTCGGGGCGGCCGCCGCGGCCTTTATGCGCGGGGCGGCCTTGCGGGCCCCCGGCCGGGCCTGGCGGGGAGCGGCGCGGGCCTGCCCGCCCCGCCCTGGACCTGGCCGCGGGGATCCTCGGGGGGAAGCGGGGCCGGGGCGGTGCCCGCCGGGGCCGGGGGCGGCCGCAGATCACCCGGTGTGGGGCCGCAGCTGAAAAAAACTTCAGCTTCGGTGGCGGCTCCTTGGCAGGGCCGCGCTGAGCGCCGGCACCGCCAGCCCGGGAGCGGAGCGCGTTCGTCTGGCTGTGCCCGCTGGGGGTTTCACCACCCCTGTGGGGCTGTCCAGGGCTGGGGGAGGGCTCCGTGCTGCTCCTCCCGCGCTGGCTCCGGGGGATCCCCCCGTGGGGTTTCTGTCCCGTGGGTGGCTCTCCAGCCCGTCCGGAGCCTCGGGCTGACCTTTTTCCCCGAGCCTCCCCCAGCTCAGCCCGTGTGCCCGAGGAGCGGTGCAGGTGGGTGTAACACTTCACTCTCGGTTTCCCAGCCGGTTTTGCACCAGGTCTGTCCTGTGCTAGAGTGACTCAAACCTGATTTTCACCCCCAGGAGTGCGTTCTTGGTAAGGGCAGCGCTGAAGGTGCTGTCGGTGGATGCTCAGGGGGCTGCGAGGGTCACTTGCTGCTGTGACCATTTCGCGGGAGTTTGATGTCGGGACACACCTGGACCCTCCCAAGGGCAGCAGTGATTCCACTCTTCTTGTGCACCAAAGGAGAGAGCACATCTGTGGGAAATGTCTTTGGACATTAAGGATTTAAGGATGTCTTTGCCTATTTGCTGTGTTTGTTTTACAGTCTTGAAGACAATGAGGGGAAAAACCCCTTATTTTTTTCTCCATCTATAAAGAAGAACAGCCTCCAAAAATATGCTAAACTGTCTGGGTCTAAAGTAGTTTCCTTCTGAAGTCATTCCACTGTCTGTTTCCCAGGTGGTTTAATAGCCAGGAACTTGAAAGCCTAAAAATTTTACTCCTTCTTTTCTTCCTGTGAATAGCCAATTAGGTAGGGAAAACTGCATTTGTCTTTTAAAAATACTTATGCTGCTTTGATATGTGGTTTTAATATTATCTGGAGCGAGTCTTAACCTGAAGCCATTTGGTCAGGATCTGTGCTGGGCTGGTGCTGGCACACTTTGTAGCACTCAGTGAAAACTGGGGGAGAGAATTGTCCTTTTCTGTGCTGTCTTTTGGGAGGGGTCGTTGTGTGGATGGTTTCTTAAAAAATAAATAATCAAGCCCACATAGAAACCCTTTCCTTTCTACTCATCTTTTACTTCCTTCCTTTGAGACTTTTTGGGACTAGACAAGAAATAAAATAAATGGGACCAAGTGGGATGAGGTCTCTGCTGCAGGACCAACTCCCTTTCCTTTCCATTCTGCCTCCTCCAATAGTGGAATTAAACATCAAGGGCACTTGGCACAGTAATGTCCAGGGGTTTGGTTGGCTTGTTGTTCAGCCCCTTTGTAGCTACACAAATGGATTTTGAAATCAGCTCTGTCAGTCACATGTAGTGGTCAGAGTTAGAAATAGTGGTTGTAGGAGGGTTTCAGTCTGGGAAAGTTTATCTGTATTAATTTAAGGCTTGGCCATTTCCCCTACCACTGTTTCTAAAGGAAATTTGGCTGCACTCTAATTTTAGCTTTTTGATTTGCATCCATTTGAGCAGTTTGCATCCTTGCATGGTAATTTTATTTAGGATGACTGCAGTGGTGCTCCAAAGTCACAGTTCTTGTACTTTGATATAGTAGAAGATCTGGAGCTGCTTGTACAGGAACTTCTGTCATTTAGGATGGATTGTATTAATGAGCTCGATGAAATGTTTAAAAGGCAAAGAGCTCCATTTATTGTCAGCCTCTTTGATAGGAAGTGCTGCCTCTCCATCAGTTTTTCGGGGTGAAAGTGGCCATGGATTGGCAGCAGCAGTTCCTGCGTGCAACTGGTTCTGTGTTCCCTGGTTGTGGCTGCCCATCAGTGTGAGCTCCAGGACTCCAGGACTGGACTCCAGCTCCAGGACTGGCCATTCCAGCAGGGCTGGATGAGCGTTACTGGCTTACGGGGCCCAGCACGTGGGAGGTTTGGGGGGTATGAGTGTGGTTGTAGTCAAAGCTGCTCTAATGAACTAGTGCCTCTTTATCTCAATTCCAAATTTTCCTTTCTTTGGTGAGTGTCCCCACAGTCAGAACTGCTTGTTTTGTGGATCACAACAAACTGCTGTTTGTTACCAAATTGCCCGAGCCAACTTTTGGGGGAAGGAGCCAAACTGTGTGTGCAGGGCTGGGAAGGGCAGTGAGGCTGCCCAGGGGACGTGACCCCAGCAAAGCCAGCAGTTCAGGGCTCTGCTCCCAGTTAATTTTGTAACTGGGATGGTGAAAAAATAGGAACTTTTCAGGATGAGTTTTGAACGGGTCGGTCTGGAATTGAATTCCTGACCTCTGAATAACTGTTAGAAATATAGGAAGGCTTGTACCTATCAAAATGTGATCTGTGCATTAATTTTGCTCTTGAAGATTCGCTATTATTGGGTTTTATTTTAAAAATTAAATTTGAGGTTGTGCAGATGTGTGCTGGCTCATCAAAAAAGCAGGGAAAAGCAGCAGTAGGCAAAAGAGCTTTCTTTTACCTTTGAGGGAATTTAGACTGCTCTGATTAGAGCCTCAGCCTAACAAAGGCTGTGCTTATTAAAAACAAATGCATGTCCTATTAGTCACCAATATCTGGCAACCTTATGTACTTCAGATTTATCATGAGCTCTGCTTAGGTGGTCTCTGCTAGAGGGAGTCTCAGTCTTCTTGATTGTTCAAAAGAATATATTCTTTTTTTTTTTCCAGGTTAATAAAGTACCGTATTTACAATTCTATCCTAAACTTGTTCTGTTTATTTTCCCTTTCTTTCTAACAATGAATTGCCCTGGATTTTGAATTTGGACTTTTGCTTGCTTTGTACCTGGATCCCGAGGAATGGGCGGGTGTTGGGTGGGACTGTGCTCTTGGTCTGGGTGTTGTGGGGCCTGGCCAGGCAGGGAGGCAGAGTGAGGGTGGTGACTGGGTTGGTGGATGGGTAGTGTGGTGAACAGTAATCCACCACTGGCACAGGGTGCTGGAGGAGAGGGAAATCAGGAAGGACAGGATGTAAATGGGGTGCTGAGCGAGGCTTGTCTGCGTCCTTAGAGCCATTTGATGATGACTGCTGCTAGTTATTGGTTCACATCACTTCCAAGATGAAACCAGTGCATCTTTCCATCACCAGTGTGGCCCTAAAGGCCATTTGGGGAGTGAATTCTTCAGTTCTGGTGGGGTGTGTTTAGGGACTATTGAGACTCTTAGCTCTCCTTTGGAACTTTCCTTTCTACTGTGTTATGACTTCTGAATGTGAACAGGCAATGCTGTCTGGTGACCTGTTCCCAAATTTAGAGACTTTCCCAAGATCACTTAGTCCAGTGTGTTGAAGGTTGCTCAGCTCCCATAGAAAGTAAAGGTTTGTGGGTTGTGTTTGCATGTGGGACCTCCAGCCTTGGCCTTTTTCTCCTGAAAGTGGAAATGCTCATTTAATGCTGAAGATTGAGGATTAGCAAGAGGCACTTGGAGACTGTGGGGTAGAGAGAATGTTCTTTATTGAGCTGGGATTTGGTTGCCTTCCTTTGACTTCTCAAAAATGCTCTCCTACAAGCTCTGCTGGAACATGGGGCAGCCCTGTGAAGGGAGCCTGTGAGTAACCAGCCACAGGAGTGTGGGACCCCTGGAATTTTCTTCCTGTGACAGATGGAATTAATGACCGAGGAGCTGTTTATGCCCAAAAATAATATAATTTTAAAATGCCAGAGGATGGGAGGTGACCAGAACCTGGAGAAGCAGCTGTGCTTTCTGCAGCTGCAAATTCTTGGGAAATTGGGAAGGTAACTTCCTTCAGAAACAGTTGGAAACTTCAGGGGTTTTCCCAGCTGGTCTAGCTCGTGGATGTTCTTACCTTTGGCTCTGGTCAGGGCTTTGCTGTAGGATGGAGCCCACTGCAGCCAGCAGATCCCTGTGCAAGGTGGGTGACCTCTGGCCCGTTCTGGGAACACCCCATGGAATTAGTGATGAAAACCTGTTTGTCTGGAAAATAAAGCTAACAGAATCCTAGAGTTAGAACTCGCAATGAAATCTTTTTTTATCTCTCTGTTCTCATACCCTAAAAAATGGGTTAGGCAGTTTGCCCAGGAAGGCACTGAGCTGGTTTGGGCTGTCCCGGGTGGGCAGCTGTGGTGCCTTCCACGATCTGCTGGCTGCCCCTTGCTTCCTCTGTTGTGATTTGCCTGTTCAGCTGTGCTCACACAATTGTCTGTCTGTGCTGTCAGGCAGATGAGATGCTGGGGGGGCCATCCAGAGCATTTCAACAATCCCCCCTGTTGCAGCAGAGCCAGGGGCCAGCAGCAGCCCCGGGAATGTGTTCCAGGGGCGGGGAGGCAGCGAGCTGGAGCAGGGCCCTGCTAGAGCTGCATCCTCAAACAATGGCCTGAGCAGAGAAAAGCTGTAATAACACTGAAAGGCAAGTACAATCCTTGGCCCTGCGAGAACGCTGGTGAGCTCATCCTGGAAGTGTGCGATGAGAAGATTCTTCTGTGATTGTGGAGGGGTTGGGAGTGTTTTTTGCCCATGTCTGCTTTTCTGTAGGAAAAACAGATCATATGAATGAGGAAGATCAGCAAATCTGTACTTTGAACTTAAGTAGGGAATATTCCCAAGGCTGAAGGAAGCTCCCAGAGACTGGCTGCCTTTTTTCCTTCTGCTTGAGCCAGGCCACTTGAATTCCAAAGCGTGTGTGATACAGAGTTTGTGGAGCCAAAGGGAGGGTGGCTCAGCTGCTTCAGCCTTGTTCCTGTTTCTTGCTCTTGTCGATAAGCCCCAATGTAGAGGGAACCTCCTACCACAAGATGTACCTTTTGTTTTCACAATTCCTTCCAGGAATGCCGGGCACTGTGTGCTGAAGATCTCCCTGCACTAACATTTTTCTGTTAACATGGCAACACTGCGTGTGGAGGCAGAGCTTGTAGCTCATCTCTTGCTTCTCATGCAGCCTACTAGAACTTGTTTTGCTGGATGAAGTTCTACTTTGCTTTGTATCTTGCTTGTAGTATCAGACGTCTCCTGTTTCCTCCTTTTTGTGGTGAACGTATTTATGAATTAAATTATTGGAATAAAATGCCCTGTATGACTCCAGCAGGGACTGCAAATAATTGTTTACTTGGGTGTTTTGTGTTTTTAATGAAAACAGAGCAGGTTTATACTGTACAGAGGCTTTTGTTGGGCAGACAGGGGTCCTGTTGCCATGTTCTTGCCCGTAGTGTTTCTTAAAATGTGGCTTGCAGCCTTCCTCTGCCAAAGGACATCTCTTATCTCTGCCTGCTGAGATGTCTGGGGCCTCCAAAGCACCTTTGGCTTTGACAGTTGCTGTAGCAATGTCCCATTTCCACCTCCGAGTATTGAACAGCTGCTCCCTACGAAGCAGCTTGGGGTGGTTTTGGGGCTGAGGAAAGCAAGCTGTGTGTAGTAAAGTCTGAGATGCTGCCCTCAGACTCTCTCCCATGTTTGTGTGGCTGCACAGTTGCTGTGGGTGCCGCCTGCCAGGCCACACTGCGGGGCCAGGGAGGCGTTAATTGTGACAGTAATGTCTCTTCTTTCAGTTGTGTTGATTGGAGACTCTGGAGTTGGGAAGAGCAATCTTCTGTCACGCTTCACACGCAATGAGTTCAATCTGGAGAGTAAGAGCACCATTGGGGTGGAATTTGCCACCAGGAGCATCCAGGTGGACGGGAAGACGATAAAAGCCCAGATCTGGGATACTGCAGGACAGGAGCGATACCGCGCCATTACCTCAGCGTGAGTACTTGCCTTTGCTCAGGACTCTGGCAGAGATGCTGCAGATAAATTTATGGGCAGAGAAGTAATGAAACATTTGAGACATGTGACAAGATCGTTGTGACAGACTCCAGTGTGAATCCCACTCATGAGATAGCAAATACTTTTGTTGTGTTCCTTGGTTAATATAATGAAAGTAATTTTTAGATTCTCAAGTTACTATTATAGGAGCAAATGATAGCTTAAATCAAAAGTGTGGGAGATTCTGTCTGAGTCTTGTGATGTGTTTTTTTGCCTGCCCTGGCTGTGCTGTGTTCATCAGGTGCAGTGAGTGTCATTTTGGGCGGAAGCAGGGTACTGTTGGCATCAAGTTTTGGTCCAGGCATGGTGGGTTACTGTAATACCCGTGGCATGGGGGCTCTGCTGTCCCCTCAGTCTCAAGATTGAGGGTATTTTTAGGACAGTCTGCAGCCACAAATTCCCTTGAAATCTCAATGACTTTAAATTAGTCACAGCCCTGAAAATCAGGTCCAGGAGTGCCCACGCTGAATAGCCAGGAAGTAGGAAGACAACTGTGATAGTACTGACTCTGCAGCATCAGGCACATCCCTGGTTAGAACAGGGTGGTGAGAAGCTTTCACCTGTGGCACCTTGTTAATCCACAGAGTGTCTTAAGATGTACCTCTGGGTGTACCTGTTTCTATGAAGGTACATAGAAAAAACTGTCTGGAAGAGGACAAAAAGCAAACCCTCTGGTCAGGCCTGGTTCTCCAGGCAATCTTCTGATCAGTCAGTTGATTTTTTGTTACGTTACAGATGTGTAGCAGTTTCTAAAGGTAAAAACCTGTTTCTGAGTCATGCACAAATTGAGCCACTTTCATTAAACTCAAGGTAAGGGGAACTTTGTCAAGATGGGGGAAAACCTGGAGAACCTGGAGCCCGTAGGGAGCAAGCTATAGGGAAAGGGATGCAGACCCAAAGCAATGCAGAAGCAGGTTTAAGTGGCAATTTCAGACTGCATCTTTTCCAGAACTGTTGGTGTGGTTTTCAGGATTTTTTGATGACCCTTGAATTGTTCTTTCTGCTGTATAAACTGTTGCTGATTCTGGTTCAACAACAACAGGCTTGGCTGCTGGGAGCCAGTGCAGCTGCAGTCCTGTGATCCTGCCTGTCCTCTGTGCTGGCAGGAGCTGCTGCTCCACACACGGCTCAGCCAGTTCTGCCTGCCCGGCCAGCAGGGACAGGGAAATGTTTTCTGCTGACTTGGTGCCCTGACTCGGTTCAACAACGTGTCAGGCAGGTGCTGGTAGGATTGTGTGGAAGAGAGATATGGACATTATAGGATTGATGACACAGACTGGCTTGTGTGGTGCTGAGCCCTTGGCTTGTGCTGAAATGGGCCCAAACCTGCCCCGAGAGAGCAAACCCTGTTCTTGGATTAGGTATGGATAGTGACAATGTAGCCCAGAGTCCCCTCTTTAATTCGTAAGAGAGGCAGGAGATATTTGAAGGATCAGGAACAAATACTGACATTTTACTAAGGACTATTTTCCTAGTGGAAGGCTAAGTTATAACTTCACAAAACATCCCAGCAGTACCACTTCTGAAATGGTGAGTTTGTGTGCCCTCTGTTTGAGCAGACTGAAAACGTCCTGGGCTCTGCAGGCTCTCCAGCATTTTGGTACATACACTGGCTATTTTTAGAAATGCCAGTAGAAAAAATAGCAGCATTTGGAACTTGGTTTTGGGCTTAAAAAAAATCCCCCAACAGCAGTATTTTCATCAGCACAACTTTTTCCAAAGTGGAAAGCAGTGTAGAAGAGCCAGTGCCGGGTTTGTCGGTGTGCCTGGGACCAAGCTCTGGGTAAAGGCTGTGCCTCGTGGTTGCAGATATTACCGGGGTGCTGTCGGGGCCCTGCTGGTCTATGACATTGCCAAACACCTCACCTACGAGAACGTGGAGCGCTGGCTGAAGGAGCTGCGGGACCACGCCGACAACAACATCGTCATCATGCTGGTGGGCAACAAGAGCGACCTGCGCCACCTGCGCGCCGTGCCCACCGACGAGGCCCGCGCCTTCGCAGGTTGGTACAGCCAGGGCAGCACGAGCCTCTGGGGCAGAGCCCACTGTTCTGCCAGCTCAGCTCTCGCCTCAGGGTTTAGTTTGGACCCTAAAAAAAAACCCCACATTTTAAGATTTTTTTTTTTAGTTAAAATAACTTGGCTTGTTAACTTGCGTGTGTGGTTTGGGTTTTTGTTTTTGGTTGTTGTGTGGTTTGTTTTTTTTTTAATGGTTATTTTTGGTCTGGGTTTCTCTGTTCTTTAAATCTAGTGGTAGTACATATTTTTGAAACACTGTCCTTGAGCTGCCTGATAGCTGAAGATTAAACACTTCCTCTAACAAGGCTAGAAACAGCAAGCAACATTTAGAAGAGAAAATGCCACAATAGAAACAAAAAGTACCACAGGACAAAATATCTTTCCTTCCTTCCTAGAGGCCTGGTTCTGCTGAATAGATATCAATGTGCACAGCTGCAAATGAATGCTGAACCTTGTCTTAGATGGGGTGGTTTCTGCTCCAGAGCATTGATGCACACAGAGAGCAGTGTCATCTAGTCTCACTGAAGTGCAGCAATCATCAGACTTGAAAATGATCAGTTGTTGGGAGAAGCCACGTGGGTTATGTGAGCTGCTGCCACTGCATTCCTTCTCCCTTCCTTACCTGTCAGAGCACTGGTCAAATACTCTTTGGCCCCTAAAGGCCTGGGGACATTCAGCTGACTTTTGTGGGGCTGTCAAGCTTGGAGGTGGAATTTAAATGTACAGCCTTTAAAATACCTCTCGAAATATTAGCAGGGCTTGCTTAAACACGCTTGCTGAAGTTTGTACAGCCACTTTAAATGTTCAGATGAATGAGAAGTGACATTTATCTAAGAGAAGCAAAACAAGTTGGGGAGTGCCCCAGATAGCCTGTTAGTTTGGTCACTTGGTTCAGCTTCTTATTTTTTGCCCCTGACTCTCTACTGAGGCTGTTTGAAATCACCAGTGATGGTCCTCGGGCTGCTGTTTAAGCTCTGTGACAGAAATTTTCCTGTTCCTGGGCAGATGGAACAGAACCATTCTAGGTGTGAAGTTTGGGTGTCAATCACTTTCTTTTTTAATTAAAAAAAATCTTTTGCATTGTAAGAGGAAAGGAGAAAATGGACTGTATTACACGGGGTTATTGTGATTTGGGTCTGGTTAGGAAAGTGTAGGTCTGTTGATCTTCCTGGGGTGGCAGAGGAGAATTGTGGCTCTCTGGCAGCTGAGGTGCTTGTGCCAGGGCTCTTGCTCAAGGTACTTCTGGGTGTGATCTGTAGCCAGAGTAGAATGATATTTGGTGTTGCTTGACTGAGCAAGGGCTGCAGTGGAAAATGTTCTCACACTGTGGGCAAAGGAGATGTTGCTGAAACACAGCAGCTAAATGTGTAACAAAGTGTTCCTTGTGTAACAGGGAAAAGGAAAAAACAACTGTGCACTGGCTGGTTTGGCCTAAAAATAAAGGTAAAAACCTCAAAGTAAAAATGAAATAAAGTGTTATTAAAGTTTTTAACTGAACAACTTTTTATTTATTACAGAAAAAAATAACTTATCTTTTATTGAAACATCTGCTCTGGATTCAACAAATGTAGAAGAAGCCTTCAAGAACATCCTTACAGGTAGGGTTTGTTGTGGATTCAGAGGAGCTCCTGAGGTGGTGGATCTTCTTCATGGGCACGTTTTGCAGTTATCTGGAATGTTTTGGAGATGAATACTGGGAATGATGGTTAGTTTCCAAGCCTTCTGACCTTACCTTTGTGTTCTGCCTCCCACTGCACACATACCTGTCTGCCCAAGGAGAGGGTTTCTGTCTCCTGATGCTCCATAAATTCATGCTTTGGCAATAGCTCTGCTGTAAAGGAGAAGCAGCAGTTTTGTGCCTGCAGGAAATCTCAGCAGTGAAGCCACAGCCGTGCTGGGAAGTTAAAAGTTCCAATGTCTTCTCTTGCACCAGCGCAAGCTGGTACTTCTGTCAGGCTGCTGAGCTCCTGTTCTCAGCTGGTGGCAGGGGCTGCAGGGGACTGTGCACCAACAGCATCTTCTGCAGAGAAGGACCTGGGGGTCCTGGTGGGTGACAAGCTGACCGTGAGCCAGCCGTGTGCCCTCGGGGCCAGGAGGGCCAATGGGATCCTGGGAGGCATTGGGAAGAGCATTGGCAGCAGGTCAGGGAGGGGTTCCTGCCCCTCTGCCCGGCCCTTGGGAGGCACTTCTGGAGAGCTGTGTCCAGTTTGGGACTCCTCAGGATGAGAGAGACAAGGAGCTCCTGGAGAGGGTCCAGTGGAGGCCACAAAGATGATGAGGGGTCTGGAGCACCTCCCTTATGAGGGAAGACTGAGGGAACTGGGCTAGTCTAGAGAAGAGAAGGCTGAGAGAGATCCTCATCAGTCCATCCAAATATTTCCAGGAGGTGTCAGAGGATGGTGCCAGACTCTTTTCAGTGCTGCCCAGCGACAGCAATGAGCACTGAGGAGCAGTGGCCATAAACTCAGACACAAGAAGTTCCACCTTAACATGAGGAAGAACTTCTTTCCATGGAGGGTGGCGGAGCCCTGGAACAGCTGCACAGAGGGGATGTGGAGTCTCCCTCTCTGGAGGCATTCCAAATCCACTTGGACATGTTCCTGTGTCACTTGCTCCCCATGACCCTGCCTTGGAAGGGGGTTGGACTGAATGATCTCCAGAGGTCCCTTCCAACCCCAACTATTCTGTGATTCTGTGAAGCTGATATCTCAAAGCAGTGTCCCACTCTGAAAAAAGTAATTGGCAAAGAACCCTTAAAGATCTTATCTGAATAGGAAGAGGGAGATCAGACAGGTATTGGATTACTGCTCTATTTCTGTCTACACCAAGAGAGTTGAATCTTGTCTATAGAGGGGACAGTTTATCAGTGTGTTTGTTCTGTCTCCTGAAAAACTCTTTAAGGTCCATACAATGAACACAAAGAGTTGGCAAGATCCAATTCCTTACTAGAGCTGAATTCTGGGCCAATTAACTGTCTCTATAGTCTTGTCCCTGTACACTGTTTTGGGAAGTTGTGCTTGATCTACATGTCCCACAACATCTCAAGATGGGCATTTTCTGAGCTTTCTTTGACCAGATATTGATTTCAGTTAAACAAGAACAAGCCTTTGTTCTGGTTCTACTTAATTATGGAGCAGTGTGTGGTCTATGTTGCTTATTGGATGCTGACCGAAAAAACTGGCTTTGCCTTATTGTTTCTTGATTATGCATCAGTGAGAGTCTATTACTGGGAAAAAACCTGAGCATTAATAAGGTGAATTCTGAAGGCAAGCTCTTTTGGGTTCCTTTTGCAGGGGTGGGCAGGGAAGCACTACAAAGCATTGGGGTCACCAAGTCTGGTGCTGGCCAACTGTTGGTAACAGAAATGTGTTGCAATTAGAGGAAGATCACAGAATCCTAAAATGGTTTTGGGTTGGGAGGGACCTTAAAGCTCATCTTGTTCCAGTCCCTGTCGTGGGCAGAGACCCCTTCCAGCAGCCCAGGTTGCTCCAAACCCTGTCCAACCTGGCCTTGGACACTTCCAGGGATCCAGGGGCAGCCACAGCTGCTCTGGGCAACCTGTGCCAGGGCCTCATCACCCTCATAGGGGAGAATTTCTTCCCAGTATCCCATCTCACCCTGCCCTGTGTCAGTGGGAAGCCATTCTCCCTTGTCCTGTCTCTCCATCCCTTGTCCCCAGTCCCTCTCCAGCTCTCCTGAAGCCCCTTTAGGCACTGGAAGTCCTCAGTAAGGTCTCCCTGGAGCCTTCCCTTCTCTAGCCTGAACACCCCCAATTCTGCCCCCAGGGTGCCCAGGAAGAGGCAGGCAGGAGAAAAAGGGTAACCAAGCTGGTTCTGTAAGTAAAGAGCTTGGCAGACTGGGAATGGGGTGTCTCTGCTGCCCAGCAAGATTTGTGTTATTAGAGCTACTGGTGAAGCAACTGGAGAGTGAGGCAGAGCTGCCCAGTGCTGGGGCTGATCCACTGCTGATCTGGGACCCTTGGCTGGACCTGAGGGAACTTCCCTGGCAGTTGGAGACAGTGTCCGTGGTTTCAGTGCTCTGAGCACAGTTCATCAATTGCCATCCATCCTGTCTGCTGTTGTACTGTAGTCCTGAGGCTGACCCTGGCTAGAGGAGCTGGCCTGAGGCTGCTCTAGGAGGGCCCTGGTGCTGTGACAGGACTCAAGCTGAGGTCAGGCCTGAACTCAAACCCCTCTCTCTTAGCAGCATCCCGGGCTCCCAAAAGTGTTGAGATTGTCCAGTTCAGGTAGTGTGTGGTTCAGGACTGGTTAGTCCTGAAAAGGCTATTCCTAAAGTGTTTACCTGGGGGAGAATCATCCTTCTGAGAGAGGAGAAGAAACCTGGAAAAATGTGCTGTGTAGAGCAGTGAGTTGGGAACCACTGCAGGGGACTTGGAGGAGGGAAGAGGGTGGGAACAGTGGGGCAGGAATTTCCTTACTGCCCACTAGTTTGAGATCAGTAAAGACTGGAAGGAAAAAACCCACAAAACACCCCAAAGAGGTGCTAACCTGAGGTGGAGGGGGCTTGGCAATGGCTTTGAACAGCTTGTGTTCAAATACAGCACTGAGCAGGAAAGAAAGAGGATGTGACTGCCTCTGAGCAGCTCTCCTCATCCCCTTCAGCAAAGAGCTGTAGGCAACCAGCGGCAGAGATTGGCCTTGGGTTCAAGGTTTCCATTTCCAACAACATAGATACATGCAGCTTCTTAAAAAACAAAAAAAAAGCCTAACAAAAGCCCACCATAAACCATCCCTGCAGAGTCCCCCATGATTCTGAATCCTTACCAAAGGCTCTGGGTGTTGCTGTTTTGGGGCTGTGGCTGTGTGAATGTGACCATAATATTTACCACAGACTTCCAGGGAGGTACTTGCCCTTTTCCTGTTTCACAATGGAGGGAAGTCGGAACACAGGCTCTAGTCAGTGAAATAAGTAATTTAAAAACCTTTCAACTTGTATTATTTCTGCTAACTCTGCAGTTGAAATGGTTGGTTTCTGAAAGCTTTTAAACCGGCAGCGTCTCTTCAGTGGTTACAGCTTTGTGGCTCCCTGTGCTTTCAGCCATAAACTAATTTGAGTCCAATGAATTAATTTGCATCAACACAGCGTTTTATGGATCCATGTGGCTTTTTACTGTCATAAGTGGGGAAACTGATCTCTTGCAGAGAGGAGCATTGCTGTTCTTTGGTGGTAGCAGCTTCCCAGGAGCTGAGGTGGGAAGCAGGGAACTGTCACTGCTGCTGTGCAGGATGTTTCCCAGCATCCTGGTGATTGGCATTTCTAGAGTATATTTCCTTTTTTTTTTTTGTTTTTAATCAAAAAGATTCTCTATTTAGAAATGAGCATTCCTGCTCCTTTCCCATTTAATAGTCCCCATGTCCATGGAGTAATTGAAAAAGAACAGGATAGGAGGTGCTGCTGTGGAAGACAGTGAGGATTATTGTCTTAATAACTTTTCCAGGCTGAGCTGGCTGACCCATTCCAGAGCTGGAAAAGCCAGCCAGATGTTGCATGTCACATCTGCTCAGACTAGATTCCCTAGCTAAATTTCCTCCTGGGGTTCTCTGGTGTTCTTGGTCAGCCTGGCCCGTGCCCCCAGGCTCTAACCGCTGTGTTCTTTGCAGAAATCTACCGCATCGTGTCGCAGAAGCAAATCGCCGACCGGTCCGCGCATGACGAGTCCCCCGGCAACAACGTTGTCGACATCAGTGTCCCACCCACCACCGACGGACAGAAATCCAACAAACTCCAGTGCTGTCAGAACCTGTGACCCTCTGTAGATGACTCTCGTGCCCTTCACTTCGTCTGTGCTTCATTTAGAAACTTGTGTGCACTTCTTATCTCCTGTGATTCAGTGACTCCCTCCTCCCTCCTTTACTCCATTCCCGAATCTCCCCTCTCATATTAGAGCTTTAATTGTAGGGCTAACATCCCCCTGCCTCTGAAACCCCTTCCATGTGGTGACTTTTGGGCTTGAAATGTAGTCACTGATCTGATAGACATGTTTGTGTTGGAACATCTGCTGCTGGATATTATCCCATGGAACGCTCTTCTCAAATGGGTTTGTTTTGTTTTTGTTGGGGAATTTTTTTTTTTTTTTTGAGTTTGGTGGTTTGGGGTTTGTTTTTGTTTTTTTCTTTTGGTGGTTGTTTATTTTTGGGAAAGGAACCATGGGGACTTGACTCTAACAGTTGAAGAAATAACTACATTTAGGTGACAAGGTTTTTTCCTCCCATAGTCAGATATTTTTTTTCTTGTGTTTCTGTAAACATGGGGGAGAAATTAAACTAGCTATCCTACCAAATGCTCTGTTTTCTGTCCTGATAAAGTCTCACAGTGAGGATTTTAGTGGCTGCACACACATAAGAAAGCTGTTGAAAATAACATTACTTATTCTGTAATTACCCCTAATACAGTTAGTCTGGCTGTGTAGTTTACTGTTTCCTGCTTGGGAAATCTTTCTCTATTCTTGTTTTATTTGGGAACAATGAAGTATGTCTGCATTGCTTTCTCTGCCACCATGAATGCCTGTGCAGGCTTTATGAAGTGGTTTAATATTTATTCATAGCTTATGTTAATCAGTTAACATTATTGTACAGTAAGTGCCAGCGTATTGATTTCAGAAACCTTTTGCAACCTGTATAAGTAGGCTTCTTTTGTACTGTAGGTCAGTGTCTGAAAGCAGGATCTGCTCTAGTTCCAGGGTTTTTTGCATGCTGCTTTTTCTCTAGATCTCTCCCGCCCCTGTTTGAGTGAGTGAAGCAATATTTCCATGTCACGTATATACCTGCACTTGTAAGGGTTTTGGTTGTTGTAGAGAAACACAATACTTTATACATTTTGTAAAACTTCTGCAGATCCATAGCATCTGGAATTTTCTCTTCATGATCTTTCACTATTGACCTCTAGGAAAATGCATATTAGGGTTTCACATAATAACTACTAACCTGTTGTTTTCCTCTTAACTGTTTTACTGAACTGCAGACTGTAATTCTTAAATGATTGTACTCCACTGATGTAACAGATTTGTCATCAGCAGGGCTAACTACTCTAATTCTTTGTTGTGCTGAATGGGAAGAATGTTACCACAACTTTGTGTAGCCAGTCTCTTGCTTGCTTGTGCAAATCTCCTCTGATGGCTTTTCATCACTCACTAGCTCTGGCACACTTGCATCCCCTCTGGTATCTGCTGAATGTTATGGTGGCACATACTGGGTAAAATGATCTCAAGGAAGAGCTGGAGACCATCTGCTGCTCCCTGAAGGCTCGTGGGGCCTTTTGCAGTGAGTTTTTGCTCTGTATTCTGAGCCTGTACCTCACTGGATGAATCCCAGCTGCATATTAGTGAGTTGATATTTCCTTTCTGATACCAAGCAAATATGAAACTGTGAATTGTGCTTGAAGGGGAAATCTGACATTCCAGTCTCAACTGTTCTGTCTGGTTACGTAATAAAATTAAGGGCGGTTAACTCTGATGGCTTTTCTTTTATAAGATTTCCAGACCAATGCCTTTAATTTTGTACTGTGTACACTGAGAGGGCTCCAGCTCACAGCACAGGATGCACATGGTGCCTGGCACTTCCACTCTTCACCTTTGTTTGGAGGGTACATTCAGGGGGAAGGGGTGCATGCTTGCAGCCTGATGCCCTTGTATGAGGGTATGAATTCCTCTTTGGGCATCACAGTGCTCCTCCTTAAGGGTGTCCCAGTTTGAGAAGCACTTTCAACACTTGATATTTACTTCAGTAGCATTCTGTTGAGAGAAGGTGGGAACTGGGGTGTCTCCTTTCTGGTGGTCCTAGAGCAGAATATAACATGCAGTCAGTGTTTAGACAGCTGGCAGTGAGAGAATGGAAAACTCGGAAATAGTGAAAATACTTCATTCAAGAACAAGTGGGCACTAGTGGAGCTGGGCTCCTTAATTTTTGAACACACTTTTTATAAAGAAATTACTTGGATAGCATGAGGAGGAATTGTGCTGGTAAGAAGACTCCTTAGTTCAGGGTGATGTATTAACACGCTTACTCTGCAAGTCCTGTTCTTAACATGAAGTTTCTAGAATCAGACTGGTCTGGTGTAAGAAGCTGAGAAGCAGTTTAGTCACTTCCTTGTTTCTTAAGACATTTTCTTTAGCCTTCGACGTTGTGGAAGGCTCTAAACTTTGCCTCAGAGTCCCAGTGAAAGGTCCATGTCTAGGGCTTAAGTTAAACTTATGGGTATTGAGGAGCTCTCGCACTGTGCATTGACCAAAGGCTCAGTGCTGGTGGCTCTCAGCCCTGTTCTGTTGTGTTTGAGATCTCTGGTGTGACAGGGAGAGGCCTCCTGCCCTGTGCTGGGGCACCTGGGCTGTGGGCAGTGTGTGTGTGCACGTGTGCCCACCTGTAGCTCATGTAAGGGGCGGGAGCTGAGCGGGATTTTATCTGCTGTGGTCCCTCTGTTTCTGAAGTGAGGTGTTGGCTCTTCCCCAGGCTCTGTGCTCCTGTCCAGGCAGAGCCACAGCCCTGCCCAGACTGAGCACAGGGCTGTTAGTGCCCATAGGACGAGGATAGTGGGCCAGTTGTGCCTGGTTAAACCATCTTCCTGTGCACGGACCAGGGAAAATGCTTTTTATCTGGAGCTCCTGAAGTCCTGCTGAAGCACTGTGCATCCTCAGAAACTCACCCACAACCCAGCCCACTTGTGGAATTGCTGGAGTTACCAAGGGGAAGACTTGGAGGAATCCTCAGAAAGCTGGAACTGCTGCAGAGCTGTCTGACATTCAGAGAAACTCTCCAGTAGCCCAGACTCCTTAACTGTGTTTTCCTGTTGTAAAAATGACTGGTTAGATGTAACCTCACCTGGACTGCTTCATCCTGCAGCTTTGCTGGCTCTGTGTCTCTCAGTATTACTGTCAGGAAAAGAGAAAAGGTTCCATCCCTCTTCCATCTTTCATAAGGGATTTGAAGGTAAAATTTGGCTTATGTAAAACTCCTGATGACAGGAAGCTGCCTGTGAAAGAAGGAATGTGTGCTCTGCTTGCTTTACTTGGTTGCTGAGAATGGCTTTCCTTTAACTATTGGAAGATAACACTACAGAGCCCCGGGTGCTCCCCACCTGTGCCAGTAACACAAACATCAGCCCAAGGCTCCTGGTATCCAGAACAGCTCCTTTAACACAGAACTAGGCAGGAGTGTCCTGCTGTCTCTCCTGTTAGTGATGGGGAGGACAAAGACCAAAATTCACACATCAAAGTGATTTGGTCCTCAGCACACAAACAGCTAATTGGTAAAATAAATTTTTTGGGTAGATGGATCAATCAGACCTCTTCCTGCTGAGCCAGTGCTTACAGACAGGTGAGTTAGTCTGGGATCTCCACTGAGAGCTGGAGCCTGCACAGGACAAGGAAGTTTTGTTCATAGAGAAGTTTTAAAGCTCTGTACTTGTATAAATGTAAAAATCCAGTTGCTAAGTGACTGCTTGCTGCTTTGTTAAAGAGATTTTAGTGTGTGCTGTGGAGACCAACATTTGGTAGGAGGAAAAGGCACTTTGATGCCTTCTGGCATCAAACCCTGTGGCAGGTTAGTTCCAAAAGGTGGTGTATCCCAGAGATGTCCCTGTTCAGGTGCTGTTCTGTGACCCCCCAGTACGTGGAAGGGCTGGGGACGGGCAGAGAGCTCTTGGCTGGGCGTGGTAGGGGTTGGTCTGTGCCTTTATGGGAATCAGTCACTGACCAGAAACTGTTAGAAAAATGTACAGGAGGGATTTTTGCTCCCTGGGGCTTTGATCTCTGTGTTCTGTACCACCTCAGAGGTGTGGGTGGGATCTGTTTGTGGCTGGGGCCTGCCAGGGCTTGGTGATTGCTTCCCTCCCAAGCACGAAGGAAGAACTTGCTTAGAGGTTCTGGACTCTGTAGAAGAAAAGAAGATCCCAATGAAGCAACTCGGTCACTTAGGGAGGTCTTTTTCCTTCATAAAAACTTAAACAGTATTAAAGGTAGGGGCCTGAATTTCAACTAAGAAAAATCAGGCAGTTGGAGGTGAAGACTGTCCTTCAAGTAAAACACGGTGAGCTGGGTCTGAAGGGTGGATTCTCTTGACTTGCAGACTCTTAGATACAGTTGGAATGGTGATTTGTGGAACGTTTCCATGGAGTGACTATCTGTTTCAATAAGTAACAGCAATTCCTATTTTACACTGGTCAGATAATGCACGGTAGTGTTGTCTATCAGGCTTTGTAGGCTAAAATTAGCACTGGACCTTTATGCAACCCTGAGGAGAGGTTCCTTTCATTTACTTTTACCCCTGGTTCCTGTGTTAAGTGCAATTCACTTTGTAAATACACAACATCCCTCGATTTTTGTGCATGGTTATGATGTACTGTGGATATAAAGATTGCCAAATCATCCCCGTGTGTGCGTAAAGTTCTGTTCCCGGACACGACCCTGGAAGAAGAAGGTGTGGGGATGGAACCCCGGAGCCCGAGCGGCGGGTCCGGAGGGTGTTCCCGGGGGTCCAGAGGGCCGTTCCCGGGGTCCGAGGGCTCTGGCCGGGGGTGCGGGGGCTGTTCCCGGGGGTCCAGAGGGCTGTTCCCGGGGGTCCGGAGGCTGTTCCCGGGGGTCCAGAGGGCTGTTCCCGGGGGTCTGGAGGCCGTTCCGGGGGTCCGGAGGCTGTTCCCGGGGGTGTGGAGGCTGTTCCCGGGGTGTCCGGAGGCTGTTCCGGGGGTCAGAAGGGCCGTTCCCGGGGGTCCGGAGGACGCGAGGGGCTCCGGGCTCCCCCGGCCCTGAGGGGGCTCAGGGGGCGGGGCTTGGGCTCGGGGCGTGGCCTCTTCGGGGAGGGCGGGGCCGGGGCGGGGCTCGCGCGCCCTCGCCATTGGCCGCCGCCTGTTGCCAGCCGGGGTCACGTTGCGACGCCAGCGGGTTCCCCGCAGCCCATTGGGCGCTCCGGGCTCGGCGTCACTCGGGGCGCGGGCGGGGATTGGCGGGGGCCGCGGGAGGGCGGGGCCAGGGCGGCCGCCGCAGCCGGCGCGGAGGGCGGCGGGGCCGGGAGCGCAGGTACCGGGCCGAGGGGCTCGGGGGAACGGGGCCGGGAGCGCAGGGACCGGGGCTCGGGGGACTGGGAGCGCAGGGACCGGGCGGGGAGCGCAGGTACCGGGGCTCGGGGGACCGGGAGCGCAGGTACCGGGCGGGGAGCGCAGGGACCGGGGCCAGGAGTGCAGGTACCGGAGGGGGAGCGCAGGTACCGGGCCGGGGGGGCTCGGGCGGCCGGGCCGGCACCGCAGCCCTGCCCTACTCCGCGCCCGGCGGTGGCCGCGTCCCGAGCCCGGGCCGAGGCGGGCGGGCCGCTGTTCCGGGGGCCCGGGAGCCGTGACAGCCCGGCCGGTGTGCCCGGCGTGTGACGCCGCCCGTGCTCGGGAGCCGGAGCCGCAGCGCGGGGCTCGGGGCCTGTCCCGCGGAGCCGCTGCCGCCGCTGCGGGCTGCGCCGGGTCCTCCGAGCGCCTGAGCCGCGGCCCTTCCCCTCGGGCGGGGCCGGGCCGGGCTGGCACCGTCCCCCGGGAGTGTCGCGCACGGACAGCGCCGGAGGGCTGGGGGAGGTTCGTTCCTCAGGCTCCTTTGGCCCGGGCTGAAGCCGTTACCGGGAGCAGGCTCCGCCGCCGGCGGGCTGCCGTGCTTTGCTCTGCTCTCGGAGCGCTCTGGTGCCGTTCGTGCCCCCCGGGCTCTGTGCACGGGCACGCTGCCCCGTGGAGCCGGGTACAGAGCTCTCCGGGAGAACGGGCTCAGTGTCACAGCTCAGCTGCGCTTGTGTGTTGGAGCACCAGCTGCCTTCTTCCTGGTGTGAGCTTGGAGTTTGTGACGGACTTTCCATAAACTGGTGCCCTGTAAGGCTCTGTCTCATTTAGGACAGTTTTCCTGAGCCAACTCTCTGTGACAGAGGCCAGAACTGCTGTTTTGTCGGATTTGTCCGAGGGATGAGCCTGTGACTCGTGTACAGGAGGATGAGTGTGACACGGGAGGTGTTTTTGTCACGGTCTCAAACATGGTCTCCTGTTGTATGAGCGTGTCCTCGATCTGGGGGGGGAGACCAAGATTAAAACCTGAAAAGCTGTCCGGCCGCCTTGGAGGCTCCTGTGTGCACTCAGTACCCACAGAAATAGTGCCACCAAGGTGTGGGGCGGCACGTGGGGTGACACGTCTGTGCTGTGTGTGCCGCTGCCCTGAGCAGAGTTCAGGCTGCTCTGTGTGACTCATGCTCCGGGAGGGAGCTGTGCAGAGCTGGGATTTTACAGGCAGGCAGGTGGGGTGTCACTCAAGTCAGGGGTGATGGTGGCGAACTGGAAGTGTCAGGGTTATCCAGAGTTCTGCTTGTTTGTCTTCAGTGCAGTGTGCAGGGATGGGACTGTCCTGCCCTGGTTTGTGTGATGATCTGTCAGTGAGGACGTGCTTCTCATCCCACCCCGTGCCCTTTATTTGCTTATCCCCAAGGGACTGTTTCTGTCCCTCTCTCAACCATTCCTGTCACCAGCCTTCCTTTTTCCTGGGACTCTCATTCTCTTGCTCCACTCTCCTTCCAGCAAGCGTTTATCTCTGTGTTTCTCCCTTCTGACACAGTTTCTAGCACTTTCTTGACCTTTCTCCAGGCCCCTGTTGAGAATGCCTGTGGTGCTGCTGTGGTTGTCCAGCTGGGATGGCTGTGGCTTGTCCCCTTTGTCCCCCTGCTCGTGGGGACACCCAGCCCCTCTTGGCTGCCGCTCACACGTGCGCAGAGTAATCCTTGGAACAGCTGGACCTGAGTCTTGGCTTTCCAAGTGTTTGAATGCTTTTCTGCATCTCCACAGGGTTATGCAGGGACTGTTTGAAAGGCTGGAAGGACCCTGTTTTCCAGGCGCAGTTGAGGCTGTGACGGTGTGTCACCCTTCAGAAACGAGCTTGAAGGGAAAGGAGCTGGGACTCTAAAACCGCTTTGTCACGTGCACTGTGGCAGTGAATTTAATAACTCCAGTTGAGGATAGAAGGTCTAACTACCCCCAGGCACGTGCTGGGGAGCGTTGTGGGCAGCCTGCATCAGTAAGGAGGTCTTAACTTTGCCAGGAGCAGACCAGGTGGCACAGGAAGGAGCCAAGCGTGAGCCTGATGTGTGTTCATGGACACTGAATGCCAGCTGTAGATCTGGGGCTGCCTGTGCAGGGTTAGCTAATTAGCACCACTGGCAGTCTTTTAAGTGAAAACAGAAAGAAGACACTGGAACTAATGTTCCTTGTTTTGGATGTGTTTGACTGCTCTTTTTTTTGGCTGTGGATTGCAGGAGGCTGCAGGGTGAGGTCACCCCGTGCCGGACGCCAAGAGGGCCGTGCAGATGAGCAGGACTACAATGTATTGACTGTGAGCAGCTTCCAACACAGCTCTTGCCTTCATGGATGCTGGGAGAGGGCCTTTCCCCTTCTGGGTGATTGATGCTGGCCTGCATCAAGCAAGTGTCGGACATGATCTTTCCCTGGGAGGAAGTTAGTAGGTTTTTTGGAACAGCATGACCAGAATCAAGATAAAATGCATCCAGCACAAGCTGGGCAAGCTGAGGCTGGGTATGTGCTCTGAGATTCTGTTAGTCCTGACTCTGTTAGTCCTGAGGTCCTCAGGATGTGACTTTGTAATAGTTCTGCAGGCAGAGGCACAAAGCAAAATGTGCATTTTGCAACTTTTAAAATTATTGTTTAAAATATCCTGGCTTTTCACACTAAAAAACACAGGAACTTTTCTTAGAAGATGAAGGGAGGAATCAGGCATCCTTAACTGTAAACTACTGTTTTTTCCTCACTTGACTTTGACACAGCTTTGGATATTTGGAGATTTCAGAGTTTCTGTTTCCGAACTGGTTTTCCCCCTGCAGATTAAAGTTTGAGCTGGTGTGTCTCTGGTTAACTTGTGCTTCTGCCTGCTCTGAGCTCACACCCTTCCCACTAGAGGGAAACGGTCTGGGTTGCTGGCGCTTGTCCCCATGAAGCACACTGAGCACACCTCAGTGAGTGATGCCTGAGCACGCAGTGTCTGTGGGGTCCAGGACAGGCCATGGGGCACCTTTCTGGCAAGGAAATGAGCACAGCCCCAAACCAGCCTGAAGGGTAGGCAAGTGCCTCCACGGAGTTCATGTACAGTAGGTTTCTCCAGTGGTAAAACAGCAGATTAATCTGTGCTGAGGCACATTTGTGGCTTATCAAGACAGTTCATGTCATGCAGGTGAGTAGCACCTCCCTAGGCCTGGTCTGGGTGTCTGCCCAGCTCCCACTGCAGCTCCCGTTCCCCAGGAGCTCCTGTCGCGCTCGCTCCTGTCGCGCTCGCTCCATGTCTTTGTGCCCTGCTTGCTGGGATTGCACCAGCTCAGCTCTAATTCATCAGCAGCACAGCAGCAACACAGCCCTGCTGGGAGAGGTGTTTTGGGAGGGTACTCAGGTGCTTGTCCTGCCTGGTGAAAGTGGGGAAGTCACTACTGGGCTTCTTACGGATTTGTACACCTTTCCTGGTGTGGAATGTGCCTCTCCTGCTGTGCAGTTACAGCCTGTGACAGCCCCAAGCACTGGTGGTAAAGTCCTGAAGGCAGGGACTGATCCCTGTGTGTTCCTCAGTGAAGGGAGCAGCCTGACAGCAGCTGTCCTGACCTGCAGCTCTTCCTATCCAGCTTTGCAAATGCCTTCCTTGACCCAGGCCTCTCTCGGACGAACAGTGTTACAGTTTGGAATCTCATTTGTCCCCAGTTTCAATTAAAATAGACATTTGTAAGTTTTCTTCCAAATTTCATGTAGCAATTATGACTAAACTTTTCAATTCCTGATAGAACCCGAGATGATTATGTGTGATTAACCTCAAGGACAGAGGTGCTGTAGCTGCTCTTGTAGTTTTAATCAGTTGTCATGAAATCAGTGATAGACTGAAGGAAATGTTCCCCTCCTGTTCCCAAAAAAAGGGAACAAGGGGCAGGGAGCAGCACTGGCTTGGCAAATATAAGTACAAACAAATCAAACCTACTATCTAAAGCACTTCTCTGCGAAAAGGGGAATGCACCAAGCTCATGCAGTCTTGGCTTTAACACCAATTCCTTTTAAGCTTTGAGAGCCTTAGTCCTGTTTCAACTGAAAGCTGCTTGGGGTTAGATTTGAAAATGGTGGGAGGGAAAACTACAGTTCTGGACTGTTCTTGACTTATTTCCTCCCAGTTTTTCTTGTACTTCCCTGCAGACAAATCAGTCGAGGTCTCTGTCCAGAAGAACTAGAAATGCAGCCTAAGCAAAACACTGCAAACTGAGCTGGAGACATTGCAGCAGGGACACCAACTGTGAAGTTTCACTTAAGGACTGAGCAGGGAACTTGTAAGGAGTGGGCAGAAGGGAGACACTGGTGCAGTTGGCTGGGAGCAGTGAATCCTCTTTGGCTGAGCACGGGGGTGCTCTCAGCTGGTGCCCACCTTGGAGCTCTCCAGAGCGGCGTGGTGGGTCACAGCTGCCTGTGGTGCTGCCTTTGCTGGAAAACTCCTTGAAGTGTGAGTGTGCTGAAGGGATCTGTAATATAGGTAGGCTGAAAAACGTCAATAGTCAAGTTAAACTCCAGATGAGATGTCTGTTGGGAGCTGAGTGTGCTGCCTGGTTTCGAGGGTGGTTGCTCTGAGGGGCAGTGAGCAGGGCTGCTGCATGCTGGCCGTTTGTTCCAGCTCCAGTTTTTCTCCAGGCAGAGCATTGTTATTTGTACAACAGAGTAAGTGGTGCTTTATTAAACCCAGGGGGAAGACACTGAGGAAAATGCAAGTTCTTTCTGCCATGGGATTCCCGACCCTGAAATAATACTTTGCATCCTCCTGGGTCTTGGCCTCTGAGGGGCTGGTCGGCCCCGTGGTGTGTGGGCACTGCAGTCTCCATCTGGTGCATGTGGAACTGCTACACTAAAATTCTGGTTCCTGGTGGACCTCCCAGAGCTGGAAAATCCATTTCTTCTGACTAAACTGAAACTGCCTGGCAAGTGGCTGGCAGGACTGGGGAGCCCTTGAGCTTTGGCCTTGCTGCAGAGCTGCCTCTCCCTGAGGAGGAGCTGGCTGCAGCGACAGCGCTGGGAAGCACAAGTGTCTTTGTGTTGCTGCTGCTGCTGGTGTTTCAGTAGAGGCTGTGGGTGTAAGATGTGAGAGGCCATGTGGCTCTGGTGTCTCCAGCAGGGCAAGGATGTGCTTGTGTCTGCTGGGCTGGCTGTTGTCCCTGCTGGTGGGTAGCACCCTGCAAGCCGTGCTTGGTGGCACGATAACCCATTTTCCCCCCCGCACTGATTCATGATTTCAGTAAAACTTTCAAACCTTACTGATGCATCTTTCTTTCCCTTCACACAGAGAGTGATAAAATGCAGAGGGAGGTGGGTGCTGTGTCTGTGTAGCTGCATTATATAGTGAGTTGTGCTGCTATTCACCTCTAAAAGCTGATGCCTTTTGAAGTCCTCAGAGGAGCCGCAGGTGTTTCTCATGTCCCAGCTGGTTTTCAGTTGTTTCCTTATGAAACTTGTATTAACATGGCTGAATTTTGTTTGGAGATACCCTCTGCAAAGAATTTTCTTCTAGAGTTGCAATTCAGATTTCCAGATGTTGGTAATTAAAGTGCAGTAAACTTTCCTTTCATATGGCCTTGTGGCAGATAAAGACTCTTGGAAGATCTGAGATAACTTTGTTCATTTTGGCATTCCAGCTGTAATGCGCAGCCTGATCTTTCCCAAGCACAGCAAGAAAAAAATCATCCTTTAGGCTTCTCCTTTTTATACTGATTTTTTTTTTCTGAGCATGTGAGTTTGAACCCGTTTCTTTTTGAATATTGAGTAACTTTGTTATATATGAGGCAACAATCTTCTAGAAGAAAATTTGATTGAAAAAAAGTGGGGTGAACCCCATGACAGGTCAAACTCAGGGGTGATGGGAGCCCTGTTGTGCCCACACAGGACCCATCCCAATCAGGGTTCCCTCCTGCTGGATCTTTGCCAGCCCATGGTTTTCCAGTGCTGCAAGATGTGGAGATGAAGTGAAGCTACTGCAGATGTCGATCTAACATGCTGAGTTTTGGAGAGGAGGGATGTGCATGGATGCAGGCTTTGGAAAACAAGTTATTGATCACTGAGACTCGCTGCAGTATTTTTTTAGCAATGGGGAATAGCAGTCAGATCCTGGCAGTGTGTCTCTTTGGAAAAAAATGGAAGAGTGTCTCTTCTTCTGTGTCTGGAAAACAAACCCATTTACCATCAGACCATAATAATAATCAAGACTTCAGAGAGCTTCTAGAATATGTCTAGATAGTGGGTTGGTGTAGAGAGGCTGTGATTGTCTGTCCCCAGCAGCAGCCAGTGAGTGAAGTGCTGAGTTGTGGCACTGGGACAGTGGGGGGGCAGCCGAGCCGAGTCACTGCCTGTGTACAAATGGGACAAAGGCAGGAGTCAAGAAACGCTGCATCCTCCAAGCCTGTGACCTCCTCCTGGGTGTTACAGGGTTAGACTGGGAGCACGTTGTGAGCACTGTAAACAGCCCCAGGGATGAGGCAGGTCAGGCTCTGTGCAAGCTCGGGGCTTCACCTCGCTCAGCCTCGAGCTTTGCCTGTTAAAGGTGTAGGAGGAGGTTCCTGGTGTGAAGCTTTCTCAGAAGGTTCACAAGCTCCCAGGATGTTGTCCCTTGATTATTTTGTTCTCATGCTTTTTTGGGCTTTGTTTTGAGCCCATGGTCAGGGCCGTCCCCTGGCTCTCTGATCCACAGCACTGCTCTGCTGGCACTGTCTGAAGTGCAAGTTAAGGCTGAAGTTTTTACAGCACCTCCTTTAGCTGCAATGGCCAACCAGATGTTGCAGGGAGGGCAGGAAATTGAGAAGCTGCTGGGAAGTGAAATGCTTTCCTGTGTGCTATTTACCAAATTTTAAAATGCTTTAGAAGCTGTTGTGTGGCATCAGATCTTATTTTAAGTGTTGGGTTATATGCCATAAAATGCTGTCTCACTTTTCTCACTGAACAGGGCTCCCTGCACCCTGACTTTAGGACTGCTGTGCTCAGGTGACTTCTGAGCATAGGACTGAGGAGATATCTTCATGAGCCCTGGGTGATGGGCGAGTTGCTGATGGGTCAAGCACGGGCAGATCCTGTGCTGGCTTTCTGGGTGCTTTTAAGGTGTTCCATAGCAGACCTGCAGGGTAACTTTGGGGAGTCAGCTGATATATAAAATCATGTACTTTTAATAAAGAAGAAAATAATGCTGTGGTTTTCAACTCTCAGCAAGAGAGTATGTTTAAACAAACAAAACTGAAAACAAAGCCCTGCAGCAATTTGGGACTGGTTCTTGGGGTTTTTTAGTTGTTTTGGTTTTTTTTTTTCTTTAGATTAATCCACTTATGCAGCCTCTCAACAGTAGCAGGGAGCACTTCAGGCCACTCATGGCATCCCACTCGTGTATCTCTGGTGGCAGTGTCTCAGATGTTCAGTGTGCATTAGCTGGGTGAGACAGGGTGTGTGGGAGCAGGTGCTTAAATGTGTGAAGAAAGCAGTTCTTTGTGTCTCCCTTGAGATGTGATCAGATGGTTGTAGGGCTCAGGATTTGAGAAATGCTGTTTTTGTGGTGAAAAGGAAAGCACTGATGTTTGGAAATGCCCTTTAGCACCTGAAAATGTTTGGCTCACTGGTGGCATTTTCAGGATCATATGATGAGAAAACTCAGTGTCTGTGTGCCCAAACTGGCTAAAAGGGCTTTGGAAAGCAGCCTGGATGGCCTTGCACCCAGGATCAAACATCAGCTCACGTGAGCAGCAGTCGGAGCACTGATGTGCAGTCGGTGAGTGGGTTACGTGCTAAATTGAAAAAAACCAAGTCATTGTGTACAGATGGGTGGGTTACATTGGCAACACAACTTGTTTATCTCTGGTGGCACCGTTGGTGAGGTGCCAGGTCTTGGTTACAGTGATCAGGGAGATGGGTTGCTCAGGAGCAGACCCCGCTGGCAGGGTTGTGTGTCGAGTGGAGATGCCTGGGGAAGCCAATCTGTTCAGGAGCTGAACTGTACGTACTGCACCTGGAGAAGGTGGAGCTGGTTCTAGTTCCAGTTTGCTCTGGATCCAGTCAAAGGCTCAGAATTGCTCCAGGGTTTTACATGGATTGGGATATTCACCAGTGGACAGGCCGGGAGCAGCAGGAGCCACGACCAGTCCCCGGAACTGCCACTGATTGACTGCAGCCTTTCCTCTTGTCTTTCTCACCTTGACTGTGCTTCTCCCGTTGTGGTTTTGATCCAGGTGTTCACCTGGTCTGCTGTGGTTGCCCTGTATGGGAGAAATAACTGTTTCATCCATCTGCAAAGTCTAAATATGGAGAACAGAGCTGGGGGACCCCTTAGCTCCTTGACTCCTGCTCATTCTTGCTGGGCACGTCTCCTGTGTGGAGGGCACTGGTCCAGCCTGATCTCTGCAGTCTTTGGAGGGAGTTTTGCCCCCCAGTTGCCCTTTGGATGATATAAACTGGATTGCATATGTTGTTGCAGTGCCTGAGCACGGATGAGGGGGAATCTCTTGCTGGCCATGGAGCAGGATCCCACCCCAACACCCTGGTCTCTGCCTTGGAGCAGCGATGGAGCACCAGCTGCTCTTTGAGGAACTGGCTCATTTTGCTGCATGGGTTTGAGTTTTGGAGTCCTGGTGCAGAACTCCTTCTTCTGAGCCAACTTTCCACAAACAGGGTTTGTTTTTCTTCAGTTTGGGTAATACTTACAAACTCAGCCCTTTATATCCTGGGTCTGCTCAGAAGCTGAGGATACAAAATGTTGTTGAGAAGAGACTTCTGATTATTTGATCATGTCTAACTGTGGCAGTAGAGGAGATACAGATAATAAACCTACTGTCTTGAAGATTTTTTCTTTTTTTTTTTTTTTTAATGTGAATAAAATGTATCCCCAAAGTACGGGCTCAGAAATCCCAGGTGCTTAGAGAAAACCAGTGTGTGGTTCAAACCAGCTGTTTGGGTCTTGTTTCTCTCTCCAGGATTTTGACATTTCTGCAGTAAATGGAGCTTGGGAAGGGTCTGGAGCACAAGTCTGATGAGGGGCGGCTAAGGGAGCTGAGGGGTTCAGAGGGGACCTTCTCGCTGTTTAAAACTCCCTGAAAGGAGGGTGCAGCCAAGTGGGGATCAGTAACTTCTCCCAGTTAACGGGTGACAGGATGAGAGAAAATGATCTCAAACTCTGCTGGGGAGGTTTAGATTGAAAGAATTTCTTCATAGAAAGGGTGGTCATGCACTGGCACAGCCTCCTAGGGCAGTGGTGGAGTTGCCATCTCTTGAGGGATTTCAAAGATGTGTGGATGTGGCACCTGGGGACATGGGCTAGTGGTGGCCTTGGCAGTGCTGGGGGAACGGTTGGACTTGGTGATCTTAGAGGGCTTTTCCAACCTGAACGATTCTGTGAACACTGGGTTTGGGTTGGATGAGCTGTTGACAGCTGGGAGGGAAGGCTGTGTGCTGATGAGCTGATCCTTTGGGGAGGCAGGCTCGGGACTGACTTGGCTGTACACTGCGGTTCATGTTCCGCTGGGTATGAACTAGAGCCCCAGTGCACTGCAGATGTTACCTCTGGATTTCAGTCACTTCTTCTCGAACTGTATCCATGAAAACCCTGCTGCTTTTCCTTTGTATTTGCTGAATGGCACGAGTCAGATGTTAGAGCAGTGACTTCAGGTTCTACCCTGGGCTGAACCTCAACCAGGAAACGCCAAATAACCCGTAAGAGAAACCCGCGTGTTTCCTGAAGAAAAGCAGGGTGGCCATTCCCTTCCAGCCTGAGCAGGGCTGCCAGGGCAAGGCCATGGGGCTGCCTGTGTCTGTCAGATGTGGAGCACAAAGAGCCTCAGTATAAACACTCCCAGGACACAGGCAGTGAGGGCAGTTTTATTCCAATATGCAAAATGGACCTTTTTCCTCTGGACTTAGAAATAAACAACGTTTTGGCCGAACAAATGGAACAGATCTTTTTATTAAAAACATATATCTTTTCATGCCTGAGTCAGTAAGAGGTTGTGAAAACTGAAATAACTCCTTAAGTTGTAGAACAGCTGACTTAAGTCATTCCAATAGCATTTGTCATCTTGGGTTTTGCTCCTTAAAGTTGGAATGTTTGTAGCCTTTTTTTTTAAAGAGGAGAGCAATAAGAAAAGTGGCTCTAACCCAGTGTGCTCTTTGCACAGATGGAGAGAGAGGCTGAATCTGTGAAGTTAATTTTTAAGTTGATGAAAATATTCACATTTGTTTGGATGGGGATTGACCTGCCCGCAAGCTCAAGCTTATTCCTGTTCAGGGAGGAAGGATTACGGATAGTTATCAAGAGCAGCTTTAATAAAGAGATTAGAAAGTCTTCCATTAGAAATTATAAAATATTCTGTAAAATGAGGGGTTGCTACCAAAGTCGGAATCTGGTGCTGAGACACCACTGAAGGGCTCTCTCCCCTTGAACATGTGTACATGAAGGAAGCCATCCTGACAGATGAAGCCCTCAGTTGTGTGAGAGCTGCTTGATTTCTAAGACATGAGAAAACACTTGTGCTTACCCAAATCAGTGTGTTCAGGGCTGCAAGGGTCACATTCTTGTATTGGCTTTTTGTTTTCTTCTTCTGTAGTGTGGCCAAGCCTCCAACCAGGAACAAGCCCTTATTTTCTTTAGCTATTTTAGTTTGATTTTGGCTTAGTTAAACCTGACAAAACCGTAGTTTCATGGGAATGTTTGACTTCTGTTGTGCACAGACATCTCTAAACAAAAAACCCTTTCCTTGGATGGGATGGTCGAGGTTGGTTTGGCTGCTCCTACCTCCAGGAGACAGCGACTGCAGATTCCCCCCTCCTGAATTTAACAAGCCTAATTATTTTCATATATCTTCTTTGGGATTGGAGTTATTTTATTTCAGGCTTTTTTTTTCCTCCCACAGACCTTTTATCTTTTTCATTACTTTCATTTGAACTTCTTTTGTGGATCTATTTCTTCCTTGAAATCCAGCCACCAGGATGAGACAGCATTCCAGCTCTGCTCCCAGCAGTGCTGGTGCTCAGGGATTACTGTGCGTGCCTTACATAAGGCAGTCCTGTTTACAGACCCAGGGATTTTGGTTTTACCAGCAGTACGATGTTGTTGGCTCGTGTTCAGCTTGTGACTCACTGTAACCCCAGCCCTTCATTTCTGCACAGCTGCCTCTCAGGGAGCTGGCTAAAGACAATGGGGGAAAACGGGATTTTTCTGAATCTGCGGAGCATTCCTGTCTTTGGGGATGAGGTACCCCCTGCCAGGGAGGAACTCTGCTGTTGCTGGCAGCTTGGGCGAGCTGCTGCCTCCCTCAAAGGCAGAGAGCTCTCCTGTTCACCTGTGGCTCATCACAGCCAGCTCCTGGTTTGCTGTGTTGGGCTTTTCTCTGCACCTTCTTCCTGATTCTTGCCTTTGCTGTTTGATCCATGTGTTCTCTTTGCTGGGTAAATCACAGAAGTGCTGAAAATACTCTGGTGTGCTTTGCTGTTTGCGTGGGGCTCTTGTGGCAGCTGTGATTGGTCTGAGCAGTTGGAAGGGAAAGGAGACGAGCTGGCCTGCTGCCCTTCCCAGAGAGCTCAGGGAGCACTTGCAGAGCTTTTGGGAGGCTCAGCCCCACACGTTCCGTGTTGGGACACACCACAGGGCTTGTGGAAACGGAAGTGTGTGCACTTCTGTAAAGAAATTAAAAAAAGGAAAATCGAAGATGGGGTGGGGGAGCCCTTTGGGCTTGGACAGACTTTCAGGTGCTCAGAAAGCTCCTGAATGCAGCTGAGAAGTGCCTCCCTGAACCGAGCCATGCGAACGGCTTCAGGTGCCTGTTCGGGTGAAACTTTGCTGCGTTTACAGAGAGCATGAATAAAAGTTTTCAGGACAGCTCTAGCCAGAACAGCACAGGTTTTTGGGGCTTCTGGTTGCCTTCTCCATCTCTGCATTGGCACATTTGGCTTGAAAGGCTTCGTCAGGTTAAAGGGTGGGTGCCAGGAATTCTCTCCGAGAAAGGTAAATTTGCAATTCTGATGGTAAGTTATGTAAGTAGAACATTTGGAGTCTTAATTTTATGGTAAGGCAGCCTCACAAAGCCTATTAAAGGGGACAGCAGACTGACAAGCCCCGTGGCTGCCGGGGCCCTGGGGTGCTGCCAGCCCTGGGAGGGTGGTGCGGGGCCGGGCTCTGTGGGCTGCTGGCTCTGACTGCACTGCCATCCCTGCAGGTCTCCCCGGTGCCGGTCCCGGGACAGAGGGGCTGGAGCTGCCATGACGACGGGCGACTGCTGCCACCTCCCTGGCTCCCTGTGCGACTGCCCGGGCAGCGCTGCCCTCTCCAAGTCGGTGGAGGACTCGGACATGGGCCGCCCGCAGTACATCACCCAGGTCACCGCCAAGGACGGGCGGCTCCTCTCCACTGTCATCAAGGCGCTGGGCGCCCAGAGGTGAGGCTGCTGCAGGGACAGGCTCGGCGTGGCCACGGCTGTTCTCCTCTGTTTTGGTGGCTCCAGGGGCAGAGGGAGGCAGTGAAGTCTTGTTTTATGAAGGAGTTTGTTGAGGGGGCTAATGCTGAGTGTGAATCCCTGCGAGTGGCTGCTCCCCTGGCCTGTGCTGCGTGCAGAGCTCACGCGGTCCCGGGTGCCGGTGGGCTGGGAGTTGTGTGTTCATTGAAGCCCCAGAGCTGAGGCTGCTCTGGGTGGAGGTGGCAGGGTGGCCTCTCTCTGTGTGCTGCTGCCAGGTCCTCGTGGGGCAGCGGTGAGGGTGGTGCCTTGCTCGGAGGGCAGTGTGGTTGTTCATGGAGGAGACTGAAAGGCTGGAAGAGGAGCACAGCCCCTGTTCCAGGAAAGTCCACGGAGTAAAGGTGTGGTGTTGATCTGCAGCCCCAGGGATGGGAGGGTGTTTGTGTTGCAGGAACTACAGCATCCAGTTGTTGCTACAGGGAACACGTGGCAGCTTCGCTGGTTCAGACACCTCCTGATGTGACTTCTTGTCGTGTATTTTGAGCAGCTTCCAGAGCAGAGGACACTTGGCACTATTGTTCAGTCCAGCTAGTGAGGACTATCACATTTCACGTTCACAAATCCTGTCTGAACAGCTGTTATTTTTTTCAGTAATGTGGCCAGACGTTGCTGAAGTGTGAGAGTGGTGACTGCAGGCGTGGGGGAAGGATGCAGGGAAGCTGGATGAGAGTGGAGGCAAACAGAACTGCTGCAACCAGCAAACCTGGAGCAGGCCAATGAAAATGTGAGGGGAACTGGGCTTGCTCTCTGGCAGCAGACAGGCTGTGCAAGAAGTTGTTCAAACCCTTAGAACTTGTGGAGGTGTAATGATTGTGTGGGAAAACTGCCTGGGAGCACAGGTTAAGAGACCTTTCGGTGGTAGTGGGTTTCAGTCCCTTCCCTGTCACCAGCACTTAGCACAGAGAAGCTGGGAGCAGTGTGGCTACACTGGAATGTTGGATTAGTGATGTGGTCTCTACAGCCTGCTGGGAAACTGTCTGAGAGTGCATCGTGTGGGAGTGTGACGGGGCCCCCACCCCCTCCGGATAGGAAGGAAGGAAAATGAAGTCTGATAAGAGGTTTTTTTTCACGCCACTGTCAGCAAATTTTTTCATTCTGGATTGTTTATTGGTTATATTAATGTGTTGGAAATACGAAACTTCTCAAACAGGAACAGAACAGATGAAATATCTCACAGATGCTTTTCTTAGGAAATAACAGATGAATGAGAGCATTGGAGGCTCGGAGGGGTTGTCTGTCCCTGTCACTTATGCTCTGTGTGCAGGCTGCACTTTGGTTGTTCTGGTACAGTACTTTATGTCAATAAATGTTACAGAATCATCAAATAATTCAAATTGGAAGGCAATTCCATAGGATTCTGGTCCAGGCTCCTTTCAGAGGAAGAATGCTCAGAGCTCTTTCCAAGGCAGTTTCCAGGATCTCTGAGGATAGAGTTCCCACCAGCTCCCCAGGCTCCTGGTGAAGGCATTGTCCTGGCTGAGGAAGTTCCCCAAATAAAAGGCATGTGAAAAGGAGGAGAGAACGTGGTTGGTGGTTCTCCAGTGATTTTGACAGAGAGAAGGGGATGGTGCCGTGGGTGTACATTGCTTCACAGCTCTAATTATGAGTAAAGGTCCAATTAAAAGTGGTAGAGATGTCCTGTGGTGCATCAAGACAGGAGTCTTGCTTTTCCCTTAGCCAGCTGATGTGCACTTCCTTGCTGGCTCTTCCCTTTCCTTCATGTCCCACCAGCCTTTTTCCCCAGTGTGCTCCTTTCCCTTGAATTGTGCTTCCATGTCTCACTCTTGCTTTCTGTGCAAACTAATGGAAGTGTCCCTGCTGCTTCTGAAGATTGCTAAGTGCTTGCTCTTACTGTTGTGTAGCAATCCCACAAACTTCTGCAGTCAGGTGGGGGTTTTTGAGCTCAGAATAATAGTGGAGTGTGAACTGTGAGGTGAGCTCAGTGTGGCTTTTGTTCTGGCAGCTACACATGGAAAAAGGTGACAGCTGATTTCAAGAAATAAAGAAATAAAGATGTTCCTTTCTCAGCCTCTCTCCCACCCCCAAATCTGGGCAGATACGGGTGTGAGAGAACAGTTGTGTGAAAGAAAGAGCTCGTTGGAAAGTGCAGAGACACTAATGAGTGCCTGGTTCCCACGGTCCAGGTGCTGCCCTGCACCTCTGCTGCCCAACATTTTCTCCCTAAACGATATCAATGATGGGTAAAGAGTTGTACTGAACTGCTGAGAACGGCGAACTTCGGTGGCTGGAGCCATTTGAGGCTTCCCAGGGAGCCCAAAACATCTTCATCCCAGGGCTGGCATGTGTGGCACAAGGCTGCTGAGAAACCTGTGCCTTGGGATGCCCCATCCCTGTTCCAGGCCTCGTTGGCAGGGACTTTGGGCAACCTGGTCAAGTGGAAGGTGTAGCACTAATTGTTCACAGTCAGGGGTGCCAGTTGAAGGTGTGAGGAACATCTTGGGAGTAGATGGGTGGTTCGAGTGCCATGGGCAGCACAGGCCTCCTGCAGGGAAGGTTGCAAGGGGCTCTGAATGCATTTGTTGCTTCTCTTTGATAAGCATCTCTGGTTCTCTGAGTTCCCAAGAGAGAAGATCAAAGATATTTGATTCTGTAGGTGAAACTTGTGGCGAAGGAGGGGTGAGAAGAGGTTGTTGCTGAAGCACCAAGGCATTTCTGCAGCCAGGGAGAGGCTGAGTGTGCAGAGTGGTTGATGACCTGTGGAGAGGTGCCCATGGGATGCTGGGCAGTTACTGTGCTGTGATGGGCAGAGGGTCTGTATGATGACAGCTTAGTTTGAGGGCTGCTTGCTGTGAAGTGTGTTGTGTCCTTGGAGAGCTGAGCTTCCAGGGTCAGTGTAGCTGGGTCTGTAGATCGTGCTGTTCCTCACCCAGTTCCTGTCAGCCCAGAGTGCAGAGCAGAGATGGGCCAAGAGTGGGCAGGTGATCTGATAAATGTGACTCTGATTGCCAGACTCTTGAGTGGCTGCAGTTGGCTGGGGCTGTGGCTACTGTGGATCATCTGGCTCTGCTGTGGTCTTCTGGTTTTGTGTCAGCCCTGCCCAGTGTGAGCAGAGCTGGAGGCTGTGGGACATGTGTGCTGCAGTCACTTCTGTGCCAGCTTTCTTGAGTGTTGTGGTGCTCATCAACAGGTCTTCCTGATTTAACTGACCTCAAATGTCCTGGGCACCTCCATGCTCCCCTGAGGCTGGTTTCTCGCTGCAGGCTCCTGGCACGCTCTGCCACGTGCTGCTTGCTGTGCATGTGCCTTTCTGGGGCTTGGTGGGACCAGACACTGTGGCTGTGTCGTTCTGCCTGCTCTGACCATGATTTCATTCTGTTTGTTTCTTCTTCTGCCTCTTTAGTGATGGTCCCATCTGTCGAATCTGTCATGAAGGTGGAAATGGGGAGGGACTGCTTTCCCCATGTGACTGCACAGGAACACTGGGCACCGTGCACAAGAGCTGCCTGGAAAAATGGTTATCCTCCTCCAACACAAGTTACTGTGAGCTCTGCCACACAGAATTTGTTGTAGAGAGAAGACCAAGACCTTTGACAGAGGTACCACTTTCTTCCTGCTTCACTTTTATTTTCATATCATTTGAGAGAAAATGACTGATTGCCCTACTGCCCCTGTGGTTCCTGCTGTCTCCTCCTTGCAGTACTTTAGCACTCACAGTGAAGAAGCCATTTGGAGAGATGAAGTCTCTCATCAGGCCAAGTGATGTAGTGCAGTAGTGATGTTTGGAGCAGCTCTTGCCTGTGACCTCCCCACGTGCCACCTGCCAGCAGCAGTGCGGGGCTGCACCCAGCACTGTACGTGTGGCTGTGCCTTAATGTCTGAGCATCAAAATGCCCATGTCACCACATGACTCACTGAACTAGGAAGCTCTCATAAATATTCTTCTTTCCCTTCTAGTTTTAATCTTATCTCACAGTGTTGCATTAGTGCAGCTCTCTTGCATGTGCCTTTCTTGTCACGTTCTGTTCTGAAAAGTGAGGTGTGGTGATTGCTGCTACTGTTTGTAAATACTTGTCTTCCCTTGGCTAATACTGGTGTGTGCTTCAAAGCCTTTGAGCCTTGCTCCTTCCCACTGCTCTGTGCTCCTCCCTGGTGAAGGAGAAAGCAGGACATGGCTCAGCTGGTCCTTATTTTCCTGTTTGCACTGGCTGTAGGGAGACCAGGATCCTGATGGGTCCATCAGCCTTCCAGAGCTGGAATGTACAACCCAGGCTCTGGCTGGTAGGTTGGGTTGTTTTTTTTATCCCAAGGCCCTCTTCATTCTCCTGTTTAGGTGTGCTCACCTTTCAGACTTCCTTTGACCCCCAATGTTTAGAGCAGCTGCCTGTAATGAAGGCATTTACATATGGGGAACAAAGGCAGCTCAGCCCAGGCTGTTGTCTGATCTCAGAGTTCAAATGAACATCCCCCAGGAGGAATAAGTTAACCAGTGAGCTGATGTACAAAGGGCTGTAAGGTTTGTTTCAGAAGAAGTTGGTGGAGTTTAATGTGTCTCAATCTGTGTGAGCTGTGTTGGCAGCTGAGCAGACACTGTTTTGTGGCTCCTGTTCCAGACAGTGCTGCAGGACCATCTAGGAGGCTGTTGGTGGCACCTGAAGTTCAGCCTGGAAGATCAAAGCAAGGTCCTGCAGCCCTTGCAGCCTGTTCAGTTCCCACTCAGTGCCTGTGAGCCTGCAGGCAGGCTCTCTCAGTGTCAGTGTGCTGCTGGCTTGTCTTGGGTGTTCCTTCAACAGTGTGAGGCAGCAGAGAAGCCTTGGTCTGCAGCTGGGCATTTACAGTTGTCAATTTTGGGAGCCCCCCAGTCCTGCAGCCAACAGCAATGGGAGGAGTGGGAGGTCTGGGAGCTGATTCTTAACAACAGGCTTCTGTTACCTGTCAGCTGTTGGAGGTTTGTTGGTGGCTGCCACCAAAGTGTGTGTGGTGAGGCAGGGGTTAATTCAGGTCTGCAGCGGTGACTGCTCTTGTGCACTCTCACCTTCCTCTTGCTCCATCAGTTAGATCAAAACTGAGTCAGAACTGGAATTCTAATCTGCTTTTCCCATCTCCATTCACACTCTAGATGTTACTTCCTTTCTCTTCCCACTTCCCTCTGGAAACAATCCCCGCCCCCTCCTTCTTCTAACAGTCCCCAGCTCTCCTCACACTCCCATCTCCTCCCAGTGAGCCTTGGAGGGGAAAAAAGGCACCAACTAGGGAAGCATTCAAGCTTCAATTTGCAAAATTGATATTAAGTTTTAATGATTGTTTAACTTACAGCTGACTGTCCTTGACTGGACAGCCCCAGACAGGAGAAGGCTTTAGCCTGCAGTGCTCACGCAAACCATTACCTTGGTGGTTCCTGCTGTCAGGGTCTTACTGCTTCTCTCCTAGCTACTGAGACAAATAAAATGGCTCTGTGACCAATCTCTCAAATGGTTTTAGAGGTTGCAAAACACTGCTTTAAAACATTTGGGAAGGGCTGTGTCTTGGCTTTGAGGACATGCTGCAGGCAGGCCCAGGGACAGGGAGCGTGCTGGGGCTTACACGGGCCAAGTTATGAGTGCGAGTCTCAGATGTTTTAGCTTAAGAGCTGGTGAAGTATTCCTGCCCAGAAACAAACACGTGGGAGTGCCTTTAGCCATCGCTCACAGATGCTGTAGCACCTCCTAACAAGTGTAGGCTCAGAAAAGTGCACACTTGAATACGAGCTCAACAGCCAGTGTGTAGGGGAGGAGCTTCTCTGACAGCCACGTCTGCCTCCAGCAGGTGTGAGGAGCTTGCTGGGAGAGCAGGACAGGGAAGTCATGGCTCCTCTGTGCACTGACTTGTCTGTACTCCAGGGTGGATAAGTGGGCAGCCCAGGACATACAAATTTTAATTTAATTTAATTTTAATTGCCGTTGAAATTTGTGAGAAGCCCCTCTGGAGTGGAGCCTGTAGGGGTATGGTAACCAGCAAGGAGTCTGTGAGTGCTGAGAGCTGATGGGTGGGCAGCATTTAATGACCCTCAAACACAGGAGAACTGCTGCTGTGTTTTCAGAGAGGAATAGGTCCCTGGAGCCATTACTGCCAGCTGGCAAAGGCTTTGGGCTACGAGTGATTTGTTACTTCTGGTGTTTGGGGCCTGTCTGTGAGCACAGTGAAGGGGATGATCTGCCCTGTTGTGGTGTCTGTCAGGGCAACAGCTTTCCTAAAGTGCCATCAGTGCCCTCTGAGCTTGGAGGGTGGTAAGTGCCTGATGCAAAGTCCCCAGGTGAGAGTGATCCCTGCTGCAGAGCAGAGCCTCCTAACATGCAGCTCTCCATCATCCTGCAGCCCCAGAGCAGTTTCCTTGCCACCAGTAAGGTTTCCCCTGGCTTGACAAGCGGCCTATAGCCTGGTTTAATACATCCTATGGTAGCAGCCTGCTCCTCCCCTTTCCTAGAGGCCAGCAGTGCTTCCCACCACGGGGAGTGCTGTGGGTCTGGCACGGGCAGTGTGTGCTCTGGCTGTAGCTCTCAGGTGTGCAGGGTCCTGTACATCAGCACGTGCACTCTGTGCCTGGCACACCACCACTGCAGGGCTCCTGCTAGAGCAGAATGGCTCCCCTGGCTGGAAAGGCTGCCTGGTTTTGTTGCATTACTTCCACCGTGCTATGAAACCTCTGATCCTTTCCTGGAGGGGGGGGGGAAATGTCCTGGAGTTTGGTTTCTCATTTTCCTCGGGAGTTATTTCAGCCACTCTGAGCTCCTGCACCACTGCAATCTGTGCTGGTCAGAGGCAGTGACAGTGAGTGTGCTTCACCCCACGAGGCTTGTGGGGCTTTGTTCCCTCAGAGGTCAGTGGACAGTGTGACCACTTTGGGAAGTGCCCGCTGGCAGGGGAGCTGTGCCCTCAGTGCAGGAGCTGATAACCCCTTGGCCAGCTGGCTGGTACTTTCCATTAATACCCTGCCTGCAGTCTGGTGCAATCTCATCCCCACACCAGACTGGGCTGCAAGTCTTCACCAAATACTTTTGGGAAGTGTCATCCCCAAGCTGTTCATCTGTTTCTGAGAAGAGGGCTGGGGAAGGACGCTGCTTAGTCATTTAAAAATGTCACAGTTCCCTCAGCTGCCTTATCTGGGAAGTTCTCTGCCCCTTGGCTGTGGGGAGGGGTGAGGAGTGTTTTGAAACTTTGGGGGAAGTGATGCTTGTGGTGAGTGTGCTGATGAAAATCCACTGCTCACCAAGTAAAGCTGGGAATCCGTCAAAATAGAAACTAGGAGCAGAGGATAAATGGGACCGAGACTTGGACTGGGAACGATGGGGGAGCATGCTTTACGGCAGTGGTATTGATGAAAGGGTTTGTCCCAGGTGTGAAAGACTGTCCAAGCATCCTAGCCCTCTGTTGCTGTCACCTGGCCACAAGAGAACTCGGTGACACTCTCCATGCTGCTGTTGGGCCTCACAGGAGAAAGCAGCTCTTGCTGTTTGCTCTGCCCTGTCCTGCCTTTCCAGTCTGGGAAGACTTGAAGCTGCTTGTAGTGGCTGCAGCAGTCACTGTTCAGCAGGAAGGGACCCTCAGCCCCATCAAGGACTGGCTCTGTCCATGTGCCCCTGAAGAGCCTTCAGAAGGAGAGGGGCTGAGGGTGAGTGTGGACTGGCAGAGACGTTTCGGTGAGAGCTGGGGGGAAGCTCCACGGTCAGGCTGAAATGCTTCTGTGTGAGCTTCCTGACTTCCAAGAAGTCAGGAAATACCATGACCAAAATTGCCTCAGTTATTACTTCAGGCCTCTGGTATATCTGCACTGCAGTGTGGTCTGCATGGTCACAGGCTGTGTCTTCCAGCAGTGCATGGGTGGGAGATGCTCACCAGCTGACTCTGTTTATCCCACTGTGTGCTCTTGTGCAGTAGGCCAGCCACACCTTTTGTTCCCATATTTCTGTCCTTGCAAGCAAGTCTTGTGATGGAATTCCAAGAAGGTTCTGCTTCCATGCCTTCAGTGCAGGTGTTTTCCAGCAGTGTGTGTGTTAACAGCTTTATTTAAAAAGGGCAGCTTTAGTGATCCCTACATGTCCCTTTGCCTCCTCAAAACAGCTCATCCTTCCAAGGGTGCTGCTGTGCTGTGCAGAAGCCTGACAGGTTTTTGCTCCTACTGTTTTCCTTTGGGTTTATTGTGCAATTTTGATTAAAGATGCTTCCTTTTCAGTGATTGCTGATACTTTTGGTTCATTTAAACTGGATATTTTATGTAGTGGAGTTTTCTTTTTTTGTCTCTTAAGGAAAATACAACTTCCAAACACAATGTCACCTGCAACAAAGTGTGTTTTAAGTTCTCTGAGGTGTTTGCTTGGCTGTGTGGGTTACTCTGGAGTAGGGGACACCTCCTGTGGGTCTGCCACATGCAGTCCTGCTCCATCTCCTGGGTCTCACCCACCTCTGTGGGTGTGGGAGGTGCTATGGGAACGTCCCCAGCACTCTCAAAGGGAGGTTTGCAGGCAGGAGTTGTGATGTTACTCCTGTTTATGTGGTATGGGAAAGAAGTTTTGGCTTGGGCACAGTGCCCAGTGCAGCTCTCACTGCCCCCCCTCCAGTTCACAGAACTGAGCTGTGATGTAAGGTCTCCCCCACCCTTCCTCCAGCCTTATCTTCCTCACAGACAGACTTTTCCCTTTGCTTTCCTCGAACTCTGGTGCTGGACTCACTGCACTTGTTGTCTTATCTGTGCTCCTCTACCCTTCCCCAGCCCATCTCTCTCCTTGCTCAGTGCAAACCTCTGTTAGACTCCTGGATCTAGTGAAAAACAAATCCCTCTTGGTTCCATCTGACTCCCAGTCCTCTAATCTTTTCCTTTCTCTCTATGCTTGTGTCTGCTGTCTGGGGATGCTCCTCTCAGATCCAGCACAAGATCCTCTTGGCTCTGCAAACTGCAATGGCCTCTTTGGGGCCAAAATGGGAAACACTTCATCCACGTGCTCTTGGCACTTACCAGCACTGTGTCTTCCTTGCCTGTCCATCTTCCCCACTTTGTCCAGCCCTGTCTGTGCTGTGATGATCCAGAGGACCAGTGGGCTTTCTCTGAGGTGCAGGTCTGTGCTCCTCTATGTGCACATGTTGTGGTGCAACATGTTTGAATTTTGGCTTCCTGGGTTCTCTGTCAGAAAACTTTCCTTCCCATCTTGGTGAAGGAAACAGGACCATCCTGCTGGGGCTGCCTGTGGAGCTTGGTGGCCTGAAAGAAGGTTTGGTGCAGGCCTGGAGAAGGGACAGTGACAATCTCTTGTCTGAAGCTGCATTTTTTGGTTCAGCATGTTTCTCAGGGCGAGAACAGGGCTAATAGTGCTGCTGTGATTGACAAAAGTAATTTGTTTTTTTCTGACCTGTGTAGCCAGGCACCAGCTCAGCAGCAGAAGGAAAACCAACAGCACCTGAGCAGCCACAGGGTAATTGTTTGGTGGGCAGAAAGGGCGTGGGATGTTTTGTAATGCATCCAAATTCTTGTGCATCATACCTTCACTGTGGAGCACTGGGGAACTCTGTGGCAGGGTCAGCTGGTGAGGTTGGCAGGTCGTGCTGCTCCTGGTACTCAGCAGAGCAGCTGCAGGGCTGGGAGAGACCTGAGCTCGTGCTGGCTGGAGGCTGCTTGTCCCTGTGGTCCCACAGGGCACAGGAGTGCTGTGAGCAGTGCTGTGAGATGGGCTGATGGCTCATGGCCATCCAGACACAGGAGGTAAGTCAGCTGCAAAAATCAATGGAAGCTAATTTTTAAAACACCCTTTTATAAACCCCCAGAAAGACTGCAAGGTGCTGAGTGCTGCTGGGAGAGTCCCACTGGTCCCAAGGGGCAGAATGCAGCCCTGCCCCAAGACATGCAGGTGCTGAGATGGACTGGCTGGGAGACTGCTGTGATATGCTTTGAGCTCTGCTCTTGTCTTCCAGAGGAGCTGATTATGTCCTGGTGCCCTTTTCTGCCTGCCCCTGTCCTGCCTCCCATCACCTGGGCTCACCCAGGATTCACGGGCACAGCAGCACCCAAAGGTCAGCTTCTCATCAGCACATAGCCCTGCTGTGGCTCCAAGAAGTGAGCTCCCTTCCACAACCCTGCTGATCCCACCATCTGGGAAGGCCTCAGGATCATGCTGGAGGACAAAGGAATACAATTGTACCCAGAATAACTTCTTGTCACACAAGTAGAGAGAATTTGTTTCCAACAGGCTCTGGAAGCCAGCTCGTAGCCCAAGTGGGCAGCAAGCAGCCAGCTCTGCCTCCTTCCCTTCAGTCTCAAACATGATTGCAGTGTAGAAACTCCTGGAAGAAGACCAAGTTGTGCTTTTGTTGCTTTCCCATGTTTACTTGATAGTTTTCCCTACAAAAATTGTTTATTCTGTGTGACCACTTTATGGATTGTTTGCAAGGTTTATTTAAAGTCCTGTATGCACTAATGTGCTGCTGTGCCCTTAGAGTGGCTTATTGTGTTCTTTTTTTTTTTATTAGGTCAGTACATATTGGCAAAGTAAATCAACTGCTACAAAAGGAAATTAATTTGCTTCCTGTCTTTACATATTTTGCTCCCATCTTGGGGAGGAAGAACGAGTTTCAAGGGTCACAAGGAATATAAATAGAATTAAGATGCAGTAAAATACATATCTGCCTTCAGTCCCTGAGCTTCTTATTGTACAAGGGTCAGGAGTGCCCCCAGATGTCCTGTTCCAGGGGATGAGGTGCTCTGGGCTTGCTGTACAGGGACATTTGTCCAGTCTGGGTGACTTGGTGACACACTCGAGTGCTGCGTCAGCCCTGTCTTGGCTGGAGTGGGCAGAGCTGGGAGTTGAAGCAGAGTTGAAGCAGGCATGGCCAGGTTCAGCTGGCAGGGCTGCCAAGGAGGTGCCATGAGCTGCTGTCCCCCCTCGCTGCCTGGACTGTGTGTCCTTCTCGTCCCCACGCGGCTCGTCACACTCATCTCCTGCAGAGCAAGGGGGACCTGCAGGGCTGTCTCCCTTCTCCCAGCTCCTGCCCAAACCACAGTTCTGACTGCCCTGGAAGCTCTCTGGTGGAGAGGGACCTGGCAGTGCTGCTTTTGACAGTGGCTAAACAGGAGCCAGGTGTGCCCAGGTGGCCAAGAACGTCAGTGGCACTTGGCTTGTACCAGCAGTAGTGTGGCCAGCAGGGCCAGGGCAGTGACTGTCCTCCTTTGCTGGGCACCGGTGAGGCCTCACCACAAATCCTGGGGTCTGTTTTTGGCCCCTCATAATAAGAAAGACATTGAGGGGCTGGAGTGTGTCCAGAGAAGGGAATGGAGCTGGGGAAGGGGCTGGAGCCCCAGGAGCAGCTGATGGAGCTGGGGGGAGGCTCAGCCTGGAGAAAAGGAGGCTCGGGGTGACCTTGTTGCTCTCCAGAACTCCCTGACGAGAGGGTGGAGCCAGGGTGGAGCTCTGCTCCCACTTAACAGCTGACCGAGGGAAAGGAAAAGGCCTCAAGTTGGGCTGGGGGAGGGGAGCAGGTTTAAATTGGATATTAGGAAAAATTTCTGCACTGAAATAATTGTCAGGCATTGGAAGAGGCTGCCAGGACAGTAGTGGAGTCACTATCCCTGGAAGTGCTCAGAAAACATGTGGAAGTGGCACTTGGGGACATGGGTTAGTGGTGAACATGGAGATGGTTGATGGTTGGACTTGATGATCTTGGAGGTCTTTTCCAACATTAATGATTCTGCGATCCTAAGAAATTTTCTTCTGGCTGTCTGGCCATCAGGTTGTGCTCAGAATGGCTTTCAAATCAATGGCAGTTTATTGTCTGTTACCACAGGAGCATTCAGATGCGTCAGGTGACATCTCTAAAATATCACGCTTATCAGTCCTCCCAGGTGACACTCCTGACCAGGCTCATTCCTGTCACTGCAGCGTCCTCTCCTCTGTTCGGGTCCAGCTCAGTGTCTCGTCCCAGGAGCTGCAGAAAGTGCTGCTAATGTGGCTCTGACCAGTCCAGCCACCTCCCTGTTCCTTGCCTGGGTTTACCATCTCCCCCTTCTCTTTCCCATTTCTACGAAAGTTGGCTGTGCTTCTCCTCCCATCCCTCCCCCTCTGCTCTGTCTCTCTGAACATCCCTGCTGGAGTTAGAAATGCACTCCCCTGTGCCCCCTCCCCTGCTCCCCTCTGGGCCCTCTCTGTGTCTCTCTGGCCAGCCCAGTCCTCGTGCAGGGAAGAAGGAAGGATCCAGCAGCCCAGCACACACAGATCCCAGTAAAGCTGTGCTGTAACAATTTGGTATCAGTAGGAACCACAGCTGCTTGATATTCTAAATAAAGGAAAGGCCGAAAATACCATAATCCCAGGAAAATAGAACAATTGCTGTTGTTGAAGTCAGGTATCTACAATGAACCCACACTAGAAGCAAATTGGGACTCCTAGAAGAAGTGAACGCTTGGCGATTGCCAGTGGAGCTCTAAAATGCCACAATTCTCCCAAGGAGTGCGAGAAAAAGATTTGGGAGAGCTGCCCTCATGGCTTGGCCTGGCCTCAGACCCCAGTGTCCCTGGTTCCCATAGCCCCTACCCCAGTTACAGAGTCATGGACCTTTTTCTGTTGAAGCACAGTCCCAGACCAGTCAGATCTTTCGTAAGCTGGGCTTTACTGAACCCACCTCCCCCTGCCTGCTCCTCCCTGCTCCAGTGAAGAGCCCAGGAGCTCCTGGGTTCACTACTGCCTTCCCTGCACACATTCTTCAGCTGTGTCTTCCCTGTGCCTTGCTGGTTGTTAAAAATAGGCTTGACACTCTGTAGCTCTGTTTTAGAGTAGGTGTCTGTGAGTTAAGTGCCCCTTCCAGGTGCCCCCAGCGTGCCCGGGGCAGGCGAGAGTTTCCCAGTGCAGTTCCACTCCCACCGTTCCACTAACGCCCTTCTCCCGCCCTTCCCGCAGTGGCTGAAGGACCCCGGGCCCCGCAATGAGAAGAGGACCCTTTTCTGTGACATGGTGTGTTTCCTGTTCATCACCCCGCTGGCGGCCATCTCCGGCTGGCTGTGTCTGCGTGGGGCCCAGGACCACCTGCAGTTCAACAGCCGGCTGGAGGCCATCGGACTCATAGCACTCACTATTGCACTTTTCACAATCTACGTCCTCTGGACGCTGGTAAGTGCCAGCTGCCAGGCCCTGCTCCTGCTCGAGCAGCAGCACTGGCTCACAGCGCCGGTGTTGGGGCAGCCCCCCAGTTCTGCCTCCCCATGGGAGAAAAACGTGGGCTCTTCCTCTTGAATGGCCCTTGAATTGTCTTCCCATGGGAGCTGCTCAAGTTGTTGCTGAGAATGAGAAACCACTTCCTGACCACCTGCTTTCCAGACTGGCACAGGAGCCGTGTTCCCAGGGTGCCATGTACCTGGCACAGAGGTGCCTGAGTGGGGCTGGGGCTGGGTGGGAAGGGCTGGGGCTGGGGCAGGCAGTGGCCCATCTGTGGTGTCTGCTCCTCTTTTCAAGAAGAAACACAAACTTGGTACCTGGGTAGTTCAGGGGAAAAGTAAAATCTGGAGTGTGTTTGACCCCTAAATAATCTGCCATCCTGTCCCTCCGTGTTTTATGCTGCCCAGCACACACTGGCCATGCCCAGAGGGGGTGCAGACTGGCCTTGGGGGTGTCTGGCCCACAGCTAAACAAATTCCTACACTACCCTTTCAAGGTGTCTGTAAGACAGAAGATGTGTGCAAGGAACACTCTGGCCCTGGGGAAACCTCTGGCTTCTCTCATGCTGTATTTTGGAGTTTTTGGAGCCTGCCCTGACCCACTGCTGCTGCCTGGGGGGCACTGAGGGTTCCTGGGAAGCTGCACTTGACCCTTCTGGGGGTTGAACTGGTTCATGCTGGGAAAGAGCTTTCTGCAGAGGCCTCTCTTGGCATCCCTGGACGTGCTGAATTAGGGGGCCAGGAGCTTGCAGCTGGCAGGGAGTTCAGGAGAGCAGGACAGTTTGCTGTGGCACCCGTGAGCGCTGCCAGCAGAGCTCAGCAGGGCTGGGGCAGCTCCTCCTCAGGGCATGGGGCTGCTCTCCAGGGGCTCCCAGGCCAGGAACTTCCCTCTGTTTCCCATTCCTTTTTTTTGTGTTCTGTTGCTGGGTGGATTTCTGGGTTTGGATCTGCGTTTTGGCTTTCCTGTTCCAAGCCCTGTGTGTGCTCATGTCCTGTCACTGCCCTTTTCCAGCTGCTTGCTGGGAAGCACCATTTGGGGAAGGGAAAGGGTGCAGTTGCTGCAGGAGAAAAAGTAGGACCCCTAAAAGCTGGCAGTTCTGTGGGCAGTAGAAATGCCTCAGCACATTTCCCTGCTATGTCATGCTACAATATCTCAGAGTAACCCCTTCCCCTGTGGCTGGAGATTCCTGTCCCCCACAGACTGGGGAGCCAGGGCAGGCTGAGCTGGTGCTGCAGCAACCCCTGCTCTGGGGGGGCCAGCAGAGAGAGTTTCTGGGGGCAGAGCTGGAGCCATGGAGGAAAATCTCCACGCTGCAAGTTCCTGCATGAGGCTTCTTTTTGTAGAAAGCCAAGGTAAAACTGGAACCATTAAGAGAAAGTGTTTGTGTCCTCTTCCCAGGACTGATCTGGAGAAGCTGGAAATGGGAGGGAAATGGAAAAATGGTTTGGGATTTTTTTCATGGTTTTTTTTTTTTCCTCTGTGTGTAAAATAACGAGTCCTGACTAAAATGTCTCTAATTCTGCAGTGCTTCACATCTCCTTGAGGAGAGAAGGACTTTAAGAGAAGCCCCTTTATTCACATTTCCCGTGTCCTCCCCGGGCTGTGCAGCACAAGAGGCCGATATGTGGGTGGGAGGTGACGTCTGTAATGGGTGGGAGGGTTGTGAGAGAGGCTGTGGCTGAGGCTGCAGCTCCCTCCTGTGGAGCAGGAGCCTTCCTTGAGGTTTCCACCACTAGCTCCCCACTCCCACACTGTCTCTGAAGACTGGGAGATGTGTTTGGCAGCAAACAACCTCGCTGCCACAGCAGGCAGGAGGGGAGGGCACAGATCAAGAAGCTCAGTTACCTCAGACCGGAATAGAAGTAATTGGAAAACTGACTGTTCCATGCCAGATGTAGTTCCTGGTACTTCCTACTTGCCAGCTAAATGCTTCCTGTAGTTTACAAAGTATGAAAGCCTGGTTTGGATGAGCAGATGAGTGGATTCGGTATTTAAGCTGAGCTTGAAGCTCCCCTCGCAGGGCTGTTCCAAAACTGCAGGGCCAGCTCCTGCCTCTGCCAGGCTGTTCTGGGTGCTTCCAGCCTTTGCATCCTGCCCTTTCTCCCTCCTGGGGGACAAGTCTCCCAGGTCACAGTATTGACAGGAAACATGAGTCCAGTTGCTGTCCTGTTGTTGCAGACAGAAGAGAGAAGGTTTTTGGGAAGGGTGAGGAAGGTGCACTGGGCTCTGTGAGACAGGAGGAGGCAGGTTGGATTCAGTCACTTGTTTTGGCCACACGAGGTGCTCACTGCAGCCTGGGGCTCGGTGAAGGAGCGAGTCGTGGCTCCTCCCTGCCACGTTTCACCAGCCTGGACCCAAACCCAGCTGAGCAAACCCTGTCCTGCTGTGCCAGTGCTGCCCAGAAAGCCCCTTTGGCTGTGCCACGCTCAGCCTGTTCTCAGCAGGAAGGGGTTGATTCCCCATCAGAGGCTCGGGCCCCAAACCGTGTCGGGGTCAGAGCTGTGTCCCTTGCCCTGGCATCAGGGACACCCAGAGGCAGAGGGCTGAGGGCATCTGGCGGGACGGGCGTTGGTGACAGACGCTGCCTTCTCGCCCGCCAGGTTTCGTTCCGCTACCACTGCCAGCTGTACTCGGAGTGGCGAAGGACCAACCAGAAAGTCCGCCTGATGATCCCATCCTCGCGGAGCCCTCACCCCCTGCCCCACTCCCTCCTCTCCGCCAAGCTCATGAAGAAGACTGCGGATGAGACGACCGTCTGAGCCGGCCCAGGGGGAGGAGGGCTGTGTGTCCTCACGTGCCCGGGGAACGGGCAGCTGTGGGGGCACCGGGAAACAATCATCCCACACAAAGGGACTCTGCGGTCAGCACCTACTTTAGACTTTGTCAAACAGACAAATAATCAATGTCTGTGTGTGAAGTGGCCCAAAAGAGCCCAGTGGCAGAAAATGCCTCTCTGCAGGGACATTTTCCCATAACTAAATACCATACGTGGAAAATATCTCCCTCTCTCTATATATATCTATATATAATATTATTTTTTAATGGCCATGCATATTGTGTTTCAGTCCTTTTGTGTAGATGTTCTAAGCTTCAGGATAGAAGCCGGCAGCCTGATCTCATTCAGAGGTTAAATCAATGCCTTTTCTCCAAATGAGCATACAAAGAACACTTTTCATCATCCGTTCTTGAAAGGCCCCTTCTCCTTTGCACTAAATTGGTTTTGATAATACTGCAGCAGCCTTCCCGTTACTCTTTGGTCTCTTTCATGGTGTTCTGTCCTTTCTAGAAAGTTGAGTGTTTTTAATAATTATTATAATCCCAGAAGGAGTAAAATGACGTAATACTGAATGGAGACATTTTGTATTGTAAAGTACTGTAATTTTGAGATATAAGTTTCAAAAAGAGAGATCTTTTCCAGTGCAGATGTGATCTCACAAAATGCTTTCCTTGCCTATCCTGGCTCACCCCCAGGACTCAGATGCACTCAGCTCTTGGTATGTCTGGCAAAGGTAGATGGAGGATCCAAGGGTGGAGAGTCATGGCTTGTGCTAGCTAAGCCCACCACTGCCTTTTGGTTTTAAATGACTGAGAAAGGACCTTTCCTGACCCCAGAAGGTTGAAGTTTCTGTTTGCTGATGTCCTTTCACCATCCTGAGGCTGGACCTCCCGTAGCATCAGTTCCACACGTACCTTAGGGGACAGGCCATGCCCTGCGGCGCTGGCAGGACGCAGGTGCTCCTGGCTGTCTCTGCGCTTTATTTGCACATTCCAGAGGAGCTGCTGGGATTGACTTCATCCCTGACAGCACTACCTGCCTGTTGTGTCCTCTAGTGAAGCCCTCCCAGTTTGCTGGTTCCCAGAGAATGGGTTTGGGTCCCTTCTCTTGTGGGGCTGGGGTTCCTCCTCCTCTTTCTTTCACCTGCATTTCCAGCACATCCAACTGTCAAAACCCTCTGTCTCAGAGTGCCCCGTCTGCCAAGGGTCTCCCTGGTTTGGCTTTGGTCCTTGCCTCTCTGCCACCCTGCCGTGTGGTGCCTGTGCCTGGTGCTGAGCTCCCCTGAGCCTGCTGTGTGGTGCAGGCTGTGAGGATGCCGGCGCTGCCGCTGCCCTGCTGGGTGCTCCAGAGGGGTGTGCTCGGCTGGAGCCTGAGCTCTGCTCCCCATGGTGAGGGCAGAGAGCAGGGAGGAGGCAGGCTCCAAGGTGCCCGTGTCCTTGCAGTGGGTGGTGATGTGTGTGGCACACTATGTCCCTCTGCCCCTTTGCTGAACCCCATGCCCTGCTAGAGACCTGTCATTTCTTGGATTCAAAGCACCCCACCTCCTTCCTCCTCCTCCTCTCTAGCTGCAAAGCAGGATGTTTTTCCTTACGTGTCTCATGATTCTGGGCTGGAAGTTTCTGGTGGATCCCAAGAGGATCAGTCCAGTTCTGGATTCTGTTGGCTCTTCTCCTCCCTCTTCTGTGCCAGGGTTCTCGTGCAACTCAGGGATACCCTGGCACATCTTTCAGCAGCCTCTCTGTGCCCAGTGGTGGGTCCCTGTGGGCTGCTCCAAACTGGTCTCTGTTCTAAGCACGAGGGGCTCGTGTGACCACAGAGGAACATCCCCTGCCACAGCAATGCTGCCCATCTCTGCTCCCCTCTCTCGGCCAGCTCCCTGCCTGTCCCTTCCCTTCTACCACATACCCGTGGGCACCTTCCCTTTTCCCAGTCATGCAGGGATGACTCTGTCCCCGGTGCTCCTGGAGGAGGGGCTGCTGCAGCCCAGCTCCCATCCCAGTCCCTGCTCCAGTCCTATTGTGTTCCCACCCAGGCGCTCCCCGCTCCTCACACCCTTCCATGGCAGCGGGCACTGCACCACTGCCCTGTGCCTTGTCCTGGGTGCCCCTTCCTTCAGGCCCTTCCCAACAAACCCCTTGTCACCAGGACATTGTCAGTGGAGAAAAATGGGGGAGTGGTTTCACCTTCCCATCCCTGGCTGCCTCCCAGGAGCTTGGCCTTGCACCGAGTTCTGACCGGTGACAAGGGACGTGCACTCCCACACCACATCCCCCAGGTAAGGACTTAATGGAGCCACTGTTCCAGTTAGGAGACCCACTGTTGATCCTAATATGCAACTGTGAAAGCCAGAAGCCCCTGGCTGGGGCAGTGGGGGCCCTGTGCTGTAGGGCAGCCACGGCTGCACTCAGCTTCCTTGACTTTATTGTCATTGCCAGTAATTGGAGTTGTTGCATGTGCCCCTGCAAAACCCAGTAGCCACTCTTTAAGTCTTTTCCTCCTTCCTAGAGGAGATGTTCAGCTTGTGGATGTGGGAAATCAGTGTCTGACCCACCACGTTCCAGTGTCATGGGGAAACGGGCTGTGCAATTATGTAAATAAAAGTGAGACAAACTTTGGGCTGTTGTGTTGTTACTGGGGGGGCCGAGCCTGCAGAGCCCAGCTGACCCCTGAGAGTGACCCCCAGTCCTGGCTGCCCAAGGCTCCTCCCTGACCTGCCCCAGGAGCCCCGGCTGAAGGTTTCAAAGCTGGACAAAACCCTCTGAGAGCTCTGAGAGCCATCCAGGCCAGCGCTGTGGCAGGGCCTGCAGGGCAGTGTGGGGCAGGATGCCTGTCCAGGGCTGGAGAAGGAACCTCGGGGCAGAGACCTGGGCAGCCATCGTTCCCTGTTCCATGGGATGAAGAAGAGCCCCAAAATCCTGTGCAGCCCCAGCCCTGCCCTCAGCCCCTGGCCATGTTTCAGAGCCTGGTCACAGCACTCTTGCAGAGTGGGGTGGAAATTGTGAAGTGCCCCTCAAAACATGGCAAAACCAATGCTGGATGCATTTCCAAGGTCCTGGACAAGGCTTTAGCCTTGTCAAAACAAACAAAAAGGTTTAAAAAGAGTGCTGCAGTTATGCAAGTCAGCTCCCAAAGAGTTGATTTTTCTTTTAATATATTTAATTTTTGGGGGATACAGCAAACAGGAACCCATTAAACCTTTTCTCCCCCTTCAAAGCATAGAATTCCAGTGAAGAGGATCCAGGGCACCAATCTGTTGAAAAATCCAGCTTTCCTCCAGTCTGGGGGACTGAGCTGGCTTTCAGAAAGGAATTTTTTCTTCTTGACTGAAGTAGGTGTCCCTCAATGTACAGCACTTTGGGGTGTTTCCCAGGGCAAGGGACAGAACCAAAGCTTACAAATCTTCTTCCATCTCCCAACCTTCTGTCATGAACCTCTGTCGTGGTGTAACCCTGGCCAAAAACTAAACATCACACAGCGACTCAGTCACACACAGCCCCAAAGTGAGGTGGGGGGAAAAAGGAAAAAAAAACTTGTGGGTTGAGATAAGAACAATTTAATGTCTGAAACAATGTGAAACATAATAATACCAATGACAATAGTAAGTAAAAAAATAAAACCCAAGAGGGTTGTGGGTGTCCCCAGTCTTGGTCCTACCCCATTGGAAGAGGGTTAGAGCAGGCTCTGGAGGAAGATAACTGTGCCTGACCCAGTGCTGCAGCTCTTTGCAGCTACTGGAGTAGACCAGAGAGACCAATACTCTTGCCTGTCCCCAGATGCCGCCACAAAGATGACAACTGAGGTGGCACTAAGAGGCTCCAACCAGCAATGTGTCTGAAGAGGAATTCCAGGCTGGACCAAGAACAAGGTTCCCCTTCCCTTACATTCACCTTCTCCTGTCCTAAGGGCAGGATTTAGCAGGATCCAGCTTTCCATGTTTAACTTGTCTCTGAATGTCCTTTCCCACAAAGTACCAGTTCTCCAAGAGCAGATCTAGTGCTGGAAGACACATCCTGTGACAAGCAGCTGAGGGCTCTGGGCTTGTGTCCTTTGGAGAATGGGAGGCTTGTTGCTCTGCAGCTTCCTAAGGGGGGGGACATGGAGAGGGAGGTGCTGAGCTCTTCTCCCTGGGATCCAGGGACAGGACACCTGGGAATGGTTCAAAACTGCTCCAGGGGAGGTTCCAATTAGACATGAGGGATTATTTCATTACCAAGAGGGTGGTCTGGAACAGTCTTCCTCTGAGAGCTGGTCAGTGCCCCAGGCCTGTCAGTGTTTAAGAGGCATTTGGACAATGGTCCTTAATAACAAGCTTTACTTTTGGTCAGCCCTGCAGGCGTGAGGCAGTTGGATGAGGTGATCATTGTAGGTCCCTTCCAACTGGAATATTCCAGTCTAGTCTATTCTATGTGAGTAAGAGGAGACCTTGATGGGGAGAGATCAGAGAACGGCAGATCTGTGGGAATTGCCTCTCCTGTGGATTCCAAACACTGCTCAGCTTCATGTCTGCCTTGCTGGGCTCCCCTAGAGCTGCTCCTGGTGCCCTGCTGCAAGAAGTGTGCTTGGTGCATGTGTCAGTGACAAGAGGAGGGGAGGCAAGGAGAGGTTTGGATGTGTGGGGAAGATAAGTGTTATCATCAGCATCCAGCTGTGCTTGAGGGTTTTTAACTTCATCTTAACATGAAAAAGCCCGAGGCACTGCCTCAGCACCTTTTACTACCTGCTGTATTTTCTGTGGCCTTGGACAGAGCAGCTCTGCAGTGCCCTGGCACTCAGTGCCACCTGCCTGCCCTTGGCCCTCCTGGCACCAAGCTCCTCTGTGCTCTGAGTCTCGGTGCTCTCCCTGCAGTCCCAGCTGTGGGGAGGGTGGGATGAAGGGGGCTCTGTGGCGGCATCCACGTCCATGACCCGCCAGTCCTCTACTTGGTGGCCAGAGGAACACGTGGGGAGAAGCCAGCAGGACACACCACCCCACCAGTTCCCAGCACCGAGACCCACGACGATGGTGTTTGCCTTGCCGCTCTCTCCCTGTGCTCCCTCTGTGTGTCAGGGGCACAGCTGGAGCCACGAGCCCGTCCCCACCCAGAGCCAGGGGCGCAGCCTCTCCCCAGGACACGAGGCCAGGCAGAAAGCAAAGAGTGGGGCTGCATTTTCAGCATCAGCAAATGCCACCTGCTTGTCTCTGAAGTCCAGGCAGACCTGGATGGCCCTGGGGAGGTAGGGAAGGTGCAGAGGGGTCCAGTCAGGGTCAGTAAAAGCGTGGTATTGTCCAAACCACTGCCCCACAGCCCAGATCCCCTCCTGGGGGGTAAAGCTCAGGACACCCTTCCTCCTGACAGAGTCCTGGGCCACCCCCACAGCCCACCAGTCCCCTGCCTCAGCCACCTCCACCTCCCAGCAGTGTCTGCCCTCAGCAAAGCCCTGCCTGCCCAGCACACAGGGCTCAGTGTCGAAGCGCTCAGGGGTGTCGGGCAGCGAGGTCCACTCGTCCCCCCGTCCCACCCTCCGCTGGTCACCAGCCAGGATGAGGAAGGGGTTGGCGGTGTCCGGGTCCAGGGTCATGTCGACTGGGGACAGAGAAGGAGAAGCTGCTCAGAACAGGCAGCCCCAGGGCTACATCCACCCCAGCAGGAGAAGGGAAAGGGTGAGTTCCATTTCCCAGGGTGGGAAAGCCCTCACTGCTGGACTGCCCCAGCCTCAGAGCTGCCCCAATCCTGTCCCTCCCCAGGACCTTGCATTCACCCTGACCAATGAGACCCCTGTCTCCTGGAGGAGGATGCACATCAGTGGGTGGCTGCACATCTGCAGTGCAGACACCTGGACCTGAGCCTGGCAGTCTCTGCTGCTGCAGGAGCAGAACAGGCAGGTCTGGGCACAAACCAGTGCAGACTGTGAGAGGTGTTACCCCATGACCCATAACCTGTGGCCCCAAATTCCTGTTTCTCTCTACATGCAAAGGAAGGGGCTGAGGATGTCACCTCAGGTGTCTTTGGTGCTGTTGGGGGCTCTGCAGATCAGCACAAGAACTTCAGCTGGGGGTGTTGCAGTCACCAAGTCCCAACCCATGACAAGCCCAGGCTGGGACAAGCTCCAGGTGCTTTGAACCTAAATAGTTCCTCCAAAGCAAAGATTCGTTTCTTTCTCCTCAAGAGAGGACAGTTCCCTTCCTTCTTCCCTCCTGAAACTCACCTCTTCCACTCATCTCCTCCACCTCATTGACTAAGGTCTCACTCTCTTCTCTCTCCATCCTGGATGCCAGCATATGTACAGAAAATCAACAGCAGGGGAGGAAGCATCCCCTGTTGGAAGTGCCAGTGGCAGGACTCCGAGACTGCCTGAAGATGACAAAGCAGAGAAGCAATGATGGAATAGTCACATTATTCAGGCACTTTTTAGACAGTCAGCACTCACCTGCAGGTTGGCTGCAGGAAGGGAGGTTTGGGATAACTTGGAAAGCTCTTCAGTCTGCTCCCCACTCCCCTGATCTCCTCCTCAGCTCGTGGCTGGACTCAGCTTGCCCAGCACTTGTTTGAGTGAGCAGAGCACAGTCCAGAGGGGCTGGATGGCCTGGAGAGCACAGCTGGGACTGGGAGTCTGTCTGGGGGACCACCCCATGGAGCTTCTCCCTCCCCTCCTCTGGGCGATGGCCTCCCCTGCCCTGAACCTTCCAGCCCACGTGTGACCTCATCTAACACTTGCACTTGGCTGTTCTTCCTGCTCCTGCAGTGCCCAGCCCTGTGTGCAGCACAGGCTCTGCCACACGGCCCCTCCCTCCTGCCATCTGCAGGGGGGTGATAAGAGCCCCTGAGCGCTGCAGGGGCCTGGATCTCCCTGTGCAGGATGCTCAGAGCCCTCCCGGGTCAGCAGCACCACAGGCACCTCCAGCCCCGTGGGATGGCACTTGGGGACAGCAGTGGCCCTGCTCTGGGGGTCCAGGCTGCACACTGGGCTGAGGGAGAGGGCTGGCTCCTGCCCTGGCTCTTTGCCCAGGTTTCTGATGCTGCCAGTGGGTTCATGGTGGAGATGCTTGCAGGGCATGTGCCGCCTCGATGGCTCAGCTGGTCAAGGGGGGACAGCACTTGCTGGGCTTTGCACCACAACTCTGTATTCTCCAGGCAGTGGTTGATGCTCCCTGGGGGTGATGGCCTCATCCCCACTCATAAAGTACTCAGAGCATTCCACTCTGCTTTGTCACATCCCTCTGAAAGCCACCATATCAAGAAGGGTGAGAGGGCAGCTGTTGCCAGGTGGCTCTGCTGCCTGGTGCTGGGAGATGGTCTGGGAAAGCAGGATTGGGACAGGCTGGCTTGGAAGGAACCAGAAAAGAGGCAAAGACACAGACACAGACACAGACAGACACACAGACACACAGACACACACACACACACACAGACACACAGACACAGACACAGACACAGACACAGACACACACACACACACACACAGACATGCCCAGGCACAGGTCCCTGTGGCACCCACATCATCCCCAGCACAGGCAGCCAAGTCCACTCCTCCTGCAGGGCTGGCAGGGGGTCACTGGTGCAGGTGACACAGGCCACACTCTCTGGCTTCCTGTGCACATCTGCAGACACCTCGAGCAATGACATGGCCTGTCTGCCCAAGGGGTGCCCCTGTCCCACCCCCGGGCCCTCTGACCCCACACATCCAGCTTGATGGTCTCTGCAGACCCACAGCCCTCCCACACACATCCCTCAGGCACGCCACACTTCTGGGACCCCTGACACCAGCAGGGACCCTCTGCCTGACTGATACCCCTGCCTGGACCTGGGCTCTCCAACTCCCTGGCCAGCCAAGCTCAGGTCCAGGCTCTGTTTTACCAGTCCCTTTTCCACCCTTTTGGCCAGGTCCCTGATCAGGTCCCTTTGCCCCAGCAGGTGCCCCCAGGCCTGATGGGGGTGGGAGGGTGCCGGGACCGACAGGGCTGAGCCCCCACGGGCACTGCCTTTGCCTCTCTCAGGGCAGCAGCTTTGCCTGAACCAACCACCTCGATGGCCTTGCCTCTGGGCTGGCAATGGCTTTTAAGCAAGATTTAAGAAGCTGCTGGGCTTTACTCCCACCCACTGCCTCTGGGTGAGAATCCTGGCTCCATCACCTCCCTCCTCCCCACTGCCTCTGGGCTCATCCCAGGGATGTGCAAAGTGCTGCCACATCTGTCCCCTCCCGAGTCCAAGGAGCAGCCCTGGAGAGCCCCTGCAGTAGGGCTGTGCCTGGGCATGCTGCCAGAAGGGCATGTCCAGATTACAGAACTCCCCAAATTACTCAAGACCTTTCACTTTTGGGAGGAGAGAGTGCAAGAGAAAACAGGTGGCAGGCTGGGACAGGGTGATAACTTTTTTGGTTGTCAGACAGCTCAGCTGGGATCAGTGGACCCCTCCAACACTCTTGGGGACAGTCAAGTAGCTCCAGCTCTAGCCCAGAGACCAGGAAAGAGCTCAGGGTCTCCAGGTACGTGGCTTCTTTTGGAAAAGATGGGATGGAAATTGCCCTCTGCCATTGTGATGATTTTGATCTAGGCCTTCCTGGTAACCAGTTTGTAACCAAAGAACTGGCCAAGTACCCAGTATTCCATATGATTTTTACGTAAACCAGAGAACAAATAAGTTGGAGATTAGAGACCTCGCTCTCTTCTCTTCCAGCGAGGGTCGGGAACTGTAGGTCCTTACGTTGGTCTCGCTTATCTAAAGCTGAGGCCTGCAGCGACCGCTGGCCTGCCACGTGGGGGGTTCGGAGAGTGCTGGCTGTGTCTGCCAATCCTGCTTTTCTAAGGGAAGTGGTGAGATCTGTTTTGTTAATTACTAGTATAGTTCTTCAGTTTGATCAAGTATACCTGTTCGGTGTCCCTTTTGTTCCCTTTCATCCCTTTTTTCCCCTTTCCCTATCCCTTCGGGGGGTGGATCCCCTTTTACTGTGTATATAGCATCTTAACTGTATATAACTGTAATTTACGTAAAGATATATATTTTTTTTAATATAAATAGCTTGACTTTGGATTCTTTAATTTTTATTTTTTTTTTTCTTTGCCCTAAGAGGAGAAGGGAGGGGGGAAGGGGGCTGCTGTTGTAACTTTCGGGCATTTGACAGGGATCCAGGTCCAAACTATCACAGCCATTTCCCTGAAGCAGCTGTGGTTTCCATGTCCTGTTAGCAAAGTAGAACCAAGTCAGTGAGCAAAAAGGGGGTGGGTGGGAGAGCAGAGCAGAGCAGAGCCAGGTCCTGTCTTGGCTGGGCCTTGGATCAGTGTTTTGACTATTTTGCTTCCCTTGGTGCAAAGCCTTCTCCCACTCTCAGTGCGGAGCAGGCAGTGAGTCCAGACTCGATCAGGATTTGTCCTTCTTGTCCTGCCCTGTCAGTCCCTTTCTTAAGGCTGGGTCAGAAAAGCCAGGGCTCCACATGAAAACAACTGCCCCTTTCTGGTGCAACTTGAGCAGATGTTGCAGCTTGTCCTTTGCTTTCCCAGGGGAAATTCCCACAACTTTTTAGACCAGTCAGGTACTTTGCGTATAAAGCACTAACCAAAGTCAGTCTGATGATGGGAAATCGAGTTCAACCTTGGCCATGGAAGCTTCTTCCCTAGACATTACAGAAAGGGCTGAAACCAGCAATGAACCCCTTGAAAAGTGAATTCATCCTGGTGGGTTGGTCAATTTTAATTTCCCTTGTTTCTCTTCCCTTTTGCCCTTTCTCTCTCCTTGCCCATCTCCAGGTTGTGCTCCTGAGAGGAGGATGCTCTGCGGTTCCCCCATCCACTGCACTCTGCTGGCTTTTGTCATTTACAGTTTAGTTTTCCAAGGTCATCAGGGGCACTCAGGTAAGAATCCCCCTGTTCTTGCTGAATGCTGTGGCACAGCTTCCAGCCTGAATATCTTCCTGGCTGCCAGTGCAGCAGCTCCCTGTGAACAGCAGAGCACAGAGCAGGGTCAGGCCCTTTTCTTTCCTATTCGGTGTTCAGGTGGTGCTGCAGGGCAGGGTCCCCGTCCCAGCTCCCCTCAGCCCCTCGTGTGCCCCGGCACAGGGACGCTGCCAGCGCCATGGCCTGGCCCGGCAGCACCCGAACCACGCGGAGCAGCCGCTGCTGTGCCCGAGCTCAGGTGCCTCAGCAAACTCACAGTTCTCTCTTCCTCCTCCGGGGGTCTCTCCCAGATCCATTCCAAGTCACTGGACCCCCTGACCCCATCACCGTGGCCAAGGGTGAGAACGTGGTGCTGCCCTGCGGCTTCTCCCCAGAGCAGGATGCACAGGACACGGAGGTGATCTGGTTTCGGGAGCAGTTCTCGCCCTTTGTGCATCGCTTCAAGGAGGGCCAGGACCAGTATGGGGAGCAGATGCTTCAGTACCAAGGGCGCACTGAGCTGCGGAAGGACGGCCTTGCCAAGGGCAGCGCAGACTTGAAGATTTTCCATGTCCAACCATCTGACACAGGGACTTTCACCTGCTTTGTTCGCCGTGGCTCAGATTATGACGAGGCTCAGGTGGAGCTCAAGGTGACAGGTCTGTAGTTTGTGTCCCTGGTACCTCTGATTTACTTGCTCATGGTCAGTGCTCTTGTTCCCTGTCCTTGTGCCCAGAAACAGTTTCAGGGGGTTGCTTTGGAAATAGGGTGTTATTAAGTCCCACTGTTGAAAATACCAGGAATGTTTCATGGAGTTAGAACTGCCCACCGAGCAGCCATAAGGAGCTCGTAAGGTGCTTCCTCCTTTGTCGCGGTCGAGGCGGGGAGGCGACATGGGTTTCAGGATACCAGCAGCTTTTTTATTGCAACAGTATAGCTACCTTTATACAGTTCTGGGGTGACACATGTACACACAGCATTGGTTTACCACTTCATAACAACTCATGATTGGACATACAGCCACATGTCCTAACACAATAGGCTAACATTCCTCACAGGAAACCCACTGTGTCACAGTCCCCACTGTCCGTGGTTAACTCTCTGCCAGGTGTAAGAAGTTCCATCTTCAGGATTTCAGTATACTGAGAGCCCAGAACCAGCTGGGCTCCCCAACAATTCCCCCTCTTTTGTATTATAGAAAATTGCCAGCATCAGCTAATACAGGGCCCTTGCACTAGTGACATGGCAATAGCAATAATACAATACAATTACACACATAGGCAAAGAATTAACCAGTCCTCCTTTCATCAGTCCACAAGAATGTATTCCTTCTTCTCAGTGCTGAATGTCTATCAATGAGTTGTCCATGTAGTTGTGCGTGTACAACAGGCAGGTAGAAAGCAGACTGTTGGAGGATAAGAATATTGCTCCTCAAAAGCTAGCTGAACAAACAAGTATCCTCCCCCCTCCTTTTTTTTTCCTTTTTTCTTTTTTTTTTTAATTTTTTTTCTATTTTTCTCTTTTTCTCTTTTTTTTTCTTTTTTCTATTTTTTCTATTTTTTTTTTATTTGTAGTTTTTGACTTCTTAAAGTCTTTCAGTGCTTCAAAAAGCAGGTGTCAGGAAGTTAATAACTCCATGACTTTCCTGAAAGCAACTTTAGAAGTCCTGGTACCCGTGATCTCTGCTCCAAATTAGCATTTTTGCAGGAGCAGGGCACCTAGCTTGATTCCATGTTTCTCTTTAGCAGTAACTGCCACTCGGGACGACAGAGTCATCCTCTTTAGATAACATGGAACTTATTATACTCCGGTGGTTCACCTGTTCTAGACAGGTGTCTCCAAAAGATCTGGGCTGGCCCCCTGCGACTTTTTTGTCGCTTTTAAAACTACACCGGAGTTCCCGCCTCCAACAGCTCTCTCGGAGCTGTCTCTCTCCGTCCTTGTTCAGGACGTGAAAACCTTCTAGATTGCTTCAGGAGGTATTAAAATAAGTTACAAGCAGAGCAATAATAAAGCGAAGCTGAACGGTAGCTGAAATGTTGCCTTTGAGCAGCTCAGAGCTGATAAACGCTGGTTGCCAGGATACGAAGAATTCGCAACATGCCGAGCCACGTGGAGGAGGGGGGCAAGCAGCGGTTTGCTTGCCAGGCGGCTGCAGGAGTTACAAAGCCGGGTCCGCTTGGAACAAACAGCACTGCTGAGTCAGGGCACATTCAGGGCACGGCCTCAGCTACTCCACGCACAGTCAGGGGCGTCCGGTGATAGCGGGGGGATGCGAACCGGGCACGGAGCGGGCTGGGGCGCTGCGCACAGCCGAGATGTCAGGAGAGGGGCTACTCAGTTTACGTACTGGCACGCAGTTTGCATATGCAGCCACGCAGTGTCCGTAGGGCTGCAGCTGGAACGCGGAGCGAGATAACGATGCTCCAGGGGGAGAGCGGGGCAGCCCTGTGGGAAGGCTGGGAGCGGAGCGAGATTACGAATCCTCTGAGGTAGAACAGGGTAGCGCGGCAGAAGGGTTGATAGCGGACCGCTCAGTAACTTACGTAGCCGTGAAAAAGTCTCAGCAGCAGCAAGAAAGTTCTCAGTAGTAGCGTTAGGCAGCTCAGCGGCGTGCGATCTCTCGGGCTGAGCAGCAGTGAAAACAAAACGGGGGAATCAGCGGCCGTCTGATCCCTCTGGGTAGCAGTTTCTCGAGGTCCCGCCCGAGCGATTCTTCGTTCACTTCTTGTCGAGTTCTCTTCTATCTTCCTTCGAAATCACGTCGGGGTCACCATATGTTGTGGTTGAGGCAGGGAGGCGACATGGGTTTCAGGATACCAGCAGCTTTTTTATTGCAACAGTACAGCTACCTTTATACAGTTCTGGGGTGACACATGTACACACAGCATTGGTTTACCACTTCATAACAACTCATGATTGGACATACAGCCACATGTCCTAACACAATAGGCTAACATTCCTCACAGGAAACCCACTGTGTCACAGTCCCCACTGTCCGTGGTTAACCCTCTGCCAGGTGTAAGAAGTTCCATCTTCAGGATTTCAGTATACTGAGAGCCCA